AAAAAAAGTAGAAACAACTCAAATGTCTATTAACTGATGAATGGATAAATTAATATGTGGTATATCTATACAATGAAGTATTTTGGGGCAATAAAACAAAAAATGAAATACTGATGTATATACCTACTACATGAAACTTGAAAGCATTATACTAATTCTGAAACCCCAGTCACAAAAGACCATATTGTGTGACTCCACCCATGAGAAATGTCCAGGATTGGCAAATCCACAGACAGTTGATTGTTGGCTAACACAGGCCTGAAAGAGGGGGTAACGGGAAGGTACTCCTAATGGGTATCTAGTATCTTGTTAGGGTGATAAACAGTTCTTAAACTGATTGTGGTATATAGTTCCACAACTGTGTGAGTAAACTAAAATCTACTAAATTGTTAGTAGAAATTTTTTTTCAATTTTTTATTTAAATTCTGATTAGTTAGCATATAGTATAATATTGATTTCAAGAGTAGAATTGAGTGATTCATCGCTTACATATGATACCCAGTGTTCATCACAAGTGCCCTCCTTAATGCCCACCAGTCGTTTAGCCTATCCCACACCCACCTCCCTCTATCAACCCTCGGTTTGTTCCCTGTCATTAAGAGTCTCTTATGGTTTGTTTCCCTCTCTCTTTTTCCCCCATCGCATATGTTGATCTGTTTTCTTCCTTAAATTCCACATATGAGTGATATCATATGGTATTTGTCTTTCTCTGACTAACTTCACTTAGCATAATACTCTCTAGTTCCATCCATTCATTGCAAATGCCAAGATTTCATTCTTTTGACGACCAAATAATATTCCACTGAATATATATACCACATCCTCTTTATCGATTCATCAGACAATGGACATTTGGGCTCCTTCCATGATTTGGCTATTGTTGATAATGCTGCTATGAACATCGGGATGCATGTACCCCTTGGAATCAGTGTTTTTGTATCCTCTGGGTAAATACCTAGTCGTGAAATTGCTGGGTTGTAAAGAAAATTTAAAAAACAAATTATGGGAGAAAATTTTCCAAGCTTGGCAAAAAGACAGATAAACCTAGACTCAAGGTGAGTCGACCCCGAATAAAATAAACTGAAAGAAATTTATACCAAGGCACATCATAATCAGACTTCAGAAAATGAAAGACAAAGAAAAGTTCTTGAAAGCACAGAAAAACAATAACTTGTCTATAAGGGGAAACAATTCAAATCAAAGCAAATTGTTATCAGAAACCACTGAGGCCAGAAGGAAGTGGCGTTTGTCAAATGCTGAAAGAGTAACTGTCAGCCTGAGCCCTACGACCATTTGTATTCATTGCATTATTAACTTAGCTCCACATTCTGTCTTGTTCTCTACTTAATTGGCTTTGCCCTTTCCACTCCTACTCCTTGTTTACCCACTGATTGTAGAAACCTAATGGGGACGAGATGGTAACATTGTCTTGATGTATCTGATCATACCAGGTCCCAAATAGCGCCTCATTGTCTGGAGGTAAGCTCGCCTCCACATTGTTTCAGGTCCCCTAACCCTCCTCTCCTGTATGCAAGCTGCCCCAGGGCTCGACAGGGCAAGGCAGCTTTGGGAATGATCTCCTGCCTTCTTTTTGGGCTGCCCTTCGGATAATAAAGCTTTCCTTGCTTCAAAACCAGCGTCTCAGACATTGGCTTACTGTGCCTTGGCGGGCACCGACAAGTTTGAGTGTGGTTCACAAACCTGGAATTCTCTATTTGGTGAAATTACTCTTTAGGAATGAAATAAAAATAAAGACATTCTCCTGCTCACGCTGTCTCTCTCTCTCTCTCCTAGAAATAAATAAAACATAAAAAAAAAAAAAAAAAAAGACATTCTCACTGAAGGCAAACGAAGAGCATTTGTTAGCTAAAGGAAGTTTTTGAAGCAGGAAGGAAATGTGTCAGATAATAGATTTATTTACTCGTTTATTGTAGAAAACAGGTATATAGTAGAAAATAGAAAAAACAAACATATTGCTCTCTGCTCCCTGTTCCAGGCACAGAGATCCTAAAACCATTGTAATTTCTTAACTGATAAGCAGTATCTTTTGTTCTAATAGCTGGTCTTTGACCCCCGTCCTTGACAGACAGAGTTCCTAAATCCCTGGGAATTTCCTAGGTGATGGCAGTGTCTTTTATTCTAATGAGGTGACTCTTGGTGGGCTCCTGGATGGGGCCTGGCCACCAGAAAGACCAAGTCACGATTAGAAGCTTGGAAATCTCAGTCCCACCTCTCATTCTCCGAAGAGGGGAGAGGGGCTGGAAATGGAGTTAATGATCCATCATTCCTACGTGATGAAGCTGCCATAAATCCCAAAAGTACAGGTTTCCGGGAGCTTGTGGGTTGGTGAAAACATGGAGGTGCTAAGAATGGCACACCCCTTCCCACATATCTTGCCCCAGGCAGTTCTTCCATCTGCACGTTCATATGGATCTTTTATCATGTCCTTTTTTTTTTTTAACTTACATCCAAGTTGGTTAGCGTATAGTGCAGCAAGGATTTCAGGAGTAGATTCCAGTGATTCATCCCCTACACATAACACCCAGAGCTCATCCCATCAAGTGTCCTCCCTAATGCCCCTTGCCCATCAGCCCATCCCCCCACCCACAACCCCTCCACCAACCCTGTTGTTCTCTATATTTAAGAGCCTCTTATGTTTTGTTCCTGTTATTATATTATTTTTGCTTCTCTGCCCCTATGTTTATCTGGTTTGCATCTTAAATTCCACATAGGAGTTAAGTCCTATGATATTTGTCTTTCTCTAATTTCGTTTAGCATAATACACTCTAGTTCCATCTACGTTGTTGCAAATGGCAAGATTTCATTTTTTAAAAAATTTTTTAATGTTTGTTTATTTTTGAGAGAGAGAGACAGAAACAGACAAAGACAGAGCATGAGCTGGGGAGGGGCAGAGAGACAGACACAGAATCCGAAGCAGGCTCCAGGCTCTTGAGATGTCAGCGCAGAGCCAATGTGGGGCTCAAACTCACAAGGTGAGATCATGACCTGAGCTCAAGTCAGACATTTAACTGATTGAGCCACCCAGGCGTCCCAAGATTTCATTCTTTTTGAAGGCCAAGTAATCCTCCATTGTGTATATATATACATCTTTATCCATTCATCTGTTGATGGATATTTAGGCTCTTTCCATATTTTGGCTATTGTTGATAGCACTGCTATAGACATTGGGGTACATGTGCCCCTTCAAAACAGCATACCTGCATCCCTTGGATAAATACCTAGTAGTGCAATTGCTGGGTCATAGGGTAGTTCTATTTTTAATTTTTTGCAGAACCGCCATACTGTTTTCCAGAGTGGCTGCACCAGTATACCCTTTTATAATAAACTAACTGGTCAACAGTAAGTAAGCTGTTTTTCTGCATTCTGTGAGCTGCTCTAGCAAATTAATCTCACTCAGTGATGGCATTGTGGGAACTTGATTCACAGCTGATCACTCAGAAACACTGGTGACAACCTGACTTGCAACTGGCATGTAAAGGAGGGTGAGGGCAGCTTTGTGGGCCTGAGCTCCTAACCTGTGGGCTCTGACCCCATCCTCTAGTAAAGCATATCAGGATTGGGTTAAATTGCAGGACATCTGAAATGTCTGGGGAAGGAAAACCCCCACAAGTCTGGTGTCAGAACTGCTGTATGGCAGTAGAGGAGATACGCAGGACAACTGGGTGTTTTCCCTACTCAGAGTGGTAACAGAAAGACTCCTGGAATTTCAGGAAAGAAGAAAAAACAATCGAGGGGTGCCAGGGTGTGGCTCAATTGGTTGAGGGCCCAACTCTTGATTTCAGCTCAAGAGAAATGTGTGAGATAATCGATTTACTTACTTATTTATTGTAGAAAACAGATATATAGTAGAAAATAGAAAAAACAAACATATTGCTCTCATGATCCCAGGGTCCTGGGGTAGAGCCCCCACACCCCCCACCCCCATGTTGAGTGTTGAGCATGGAGCCTGCTTGAGATTCTCCCTCTCTCTCTCCCCTGCCCCTTCCCCCATTCATGTTTTCTCTCTCTCTAAAATAAAAAATTAAACTAAAAAAAAAAAAAAGAAGAAAAAGAAACAACTGAAAGAATAAAAATTTGAGAAGGGGCTCCTGGTTGGCTCAGTCAGTAAAGCATGTAATTCTTGATCTTGGGTTCATGAGTTTGAGCCCCGTGCTGGGGACAGAGTTCACTTTAAAAAATAACAAAATTTTAATATGGGTATACAATAGGCTTTTTTTTCTTCTTGAGTTTTCCATACTATGTTTGATGGTTAACACAAAAAATATAATAATATGGTTCTAAATGTAGAGAGAGGAAATTTAAACACAATTACAGAATTAGGGGAAGGTAAGGGATTTAAAGGGCAGGTAAAGGGATTTAAAGTTTCTACACTTCCAAGTGGTAAAACGTCAACCCCAGCAGACTGGTGAGGAGTGGCACGTGCACATGTAAAACCTTTACAGCAACTACTAAAACAGCAAAAACAAAAAGGTTTAAAAAGAGAATTTCTAGAGTCAAAAAGAACAGGGTTTGTCCATTTTCCTCTATTTTCTAGCTGTGTGACTCTAGTCAAGTACTTACCTGCTCTGTAAAATGAAGTTAATAACATTCATTTTGGATACATCGAAGTTGATATATATTAGCTTTAATTATTATAGCAATTATTATTTGGCATATTATTTTGATTAGATCAGGCTATAATAAGCCCTGTCTTCCTAATCCATTTGCTTTTGCTAGTTTATTTTATTTTTAATGTTTATTATTTTTGAGAGAGAGAGCGTGCGCGAGCAGAGAGAGAGGAAGACATAGAATCTGAAGCAGGTTCCAGGCTCTGAGCTGTCAGCACAGAGCCCCATGAGGGGCTGGAACTCACAACCGTGAGATCATGACCTGAGCTGAAGTCGAACGCTTAACCAACTGAGCCACCCAGGCGCCCCTGCTTTTGCTAGTTTAAATGAATATTTAAAGTAGTCTTGAACTAAAATATGTATGTGTGGTTCCTCTCACAGTGACTGGTATATACATGCTCAATAAATTAAAGTTATAGCTTTTTATTATTTGTAAATAAAGAAGGTTGCCCTTTCCTTTAAAAAGGAAGTGACATTGCAAAATGTGAAGGGCGGAGTCTCTTCTAGGTGCCAGGCAGGACCAGACACGCAACTGTACAAGGCAGAGGGAAGCTCATGTAGCACCCCTCTTTAAATTTGACCACACGGAGCGCTTCATTCCCTGTGCGGCCTTCACTTCTTCCCAGTCCAGTCTGATGTCTGGAACGTCATCTTCCGGCTCTGGATCCTTTCTCAAGGCCCCCTGCGGGGAGGCCACCACGATGGGTAGAGGGCCACATTCCTCCCGGAATTCTACGACATGGAGACTCTTCTTATTAGCCAGCTGTTGGTGGGTTTCCTGGGCAAGACCAAATGGAGAATGCCAGGTCAGCTCTATGAGACACATCTGTAGCATAAAGGATGAGAACTTACACGTATTGCTTGGGGGACTTAACATTCAAAGCGGATTCTGGGTAATGTATTTTGTGGCTAAACCACAGTGACTTGGGGTGGGCGGCATCATCACCCTGCTCCCAACTGGAATGGTCTCTGGTCTCTTGCCTTCCAACCCCTCCCAACTATGTGCCATGTTGTGCCCCAAACTGAACTTGAATCTCATCAAGCCCCTAGCTCTAGCTGCTGTTTTACATCCTGTGCAGGGTAAGACCCGCACTGAGGACCACAGCACCGGACTGGGAAGCCACAGGACAACAACCCAGTTTCTTAAGAGAAAAAAAAAATACTCAAGGGAAAAAAGAAGAGGGAAACCTACAGATTAGAAGTGATTTAAAAGACATGGCAAGAACTGACAATGTACAAACCTTTTCTGCAAAATAAATCCTATAAAAAACTTCTTTTTAATCTAACAAGCAGCTACATTTCTATGAACACTACCTAGGTAACTGATTATACTCTGGTACCGTTACCTTTTAGGTATAATAGTACCAAGGTGTACTTTTTAATCCTTATCTTTTAGAAATACATACTGAAATATTTACAAATGACATAAAGTGATGTATGAGGCTTGGGTTCAAAATGGCTAGGCTGCATGGGGGAGGTCCTGAGACACAAAGATTGGCCATGAGCTGTTCACTGCTGACACCAGGTAAGAGGGCCGTGGGGACTCATCCTGGACAGCAGCCACAGAAGTCTGGAAAAAGGCAAATATGGTTAGTAGATGGTTTATTGGTGGTACAATGAAATACCTGATATGCCAATTTCCTGTTTCCAGATTTTATGGCCACCTTGTACTATTCTCTTTAATTCTACAGAAGTTTGAAATTAGAAAAAAGAAAAGCTGTTTCATAAACACAAAATAATTTAAATTGGTGAGTCTTATAATCAATGGTATGTTGCTTAAATGGGCGCCATTCTTTTTCGTTTTGAATAGCACATTAAATAATGTGACATTTTACAGTTGATGGCATCTTAGAAGAGACGATACATGGTAACTGTATCAGGAAATTCAAAGTACTAACACAAAACAAAAATATTACATAAAAGGACAAGTCTACTTGATCATAAATATGACCTATCTAAAACCAATACCATAGCTACATCAAAAAATTAAACCTCTAACAGTTTTAATTTAGAAGCACTTTTTATTTTTTAATTTTTTTAAATGTTTATTTGTGAGAGAGAAAGAGGAGAGACAGAAAGTGAGCAGGGGAGGGGCAGAGAGAGAGGGAGACGGAGAATCTGAAGCAGGCTTCAGGCTCTGAGCTTTCAGCATAGAGCCTGACGCGGGGCTCAAACTCACAAGCCATGAGATCATGACGTGAGCCGACACTGGACATTTAATGAGCCACCCAGGCACCCCTGCCCATTACACTTTCTAAGTGTCAGGAAGCCTGTCAAAGTCCTTAAAAGGTCAACAAGCGGAGTCTCTTGAACCTGGCTGTCTTTTCTGCTCATCCAGCTCTGCCAACGACCTTAGCTAACGACCCTCACCCTCCGTGAGGGTCCACCCTTTCAAGGAAACAGCCCATCTCTCAGAGCAGGTAGGAGGGCAGCCTAGGAGGAGGGGCCTCTTCACTGTGGAGCAGGATGATTGTAAGCCTCACCCAGGCCAAGCCCAGGGCTCTCATCTCTGCACAGAAATAACCTGGCATATTAACATTCATGGTTCCTGCTAACGCAGGTATCTTGTCGAAATGACCTGTGCAGATAACGTGAAAACCGCCTGTGCGTCTACTGATGCCAGCACTCTTGAGTGGAGGGGGGACCCTGGAGGCCTCAGTCGAGTCCCAACTGAAAGAACTGAATTAGGAAAGAGCCCTGTCTCTTTTTACTTTACATTTCTATATTGTTAGAGCTGCAGAATGAGTATAAATTCTACACAGGTTTTAAGTATTGGCTTTGAAAAATACTTTATTTTGAAACTTCAAAATAACCCTGAAGTATTTTTTAAGGGTAATTTTCAAGAACTAACTGTTTCCAGTTGGATTAACTCTAAACTGATGCAGCCATAGGCAACAAAGAATGCCCAAATCCCCTTGGTGGCCCCGGCCATCATGGTCTAATGGCACACAACTGAAATACAGACTAGAACTTCTGGGTCAGAGCCTAGGGAAGGGTTACCTGGCAGGAGAGCCCACGGAAGAGACCTCGTGTGAGGTTGAGCATGTTGACGGACCCAGAGACCTTGGCATACATGTCTTTGATGCCGATGAGCCGGCAGATGGTGATGATGGCCCGGTGGCAGTGGAGGCCGTAGCCTAAAAAAGGAAAAATGCAGTCAGTCACCCTGCTGGCCTTCACACAGCTCTGGGCTCTGGGCTTACGAGGCCTTGGTTCACATTCTGGCTTCATCACTTCCCTGGACAACTTCTTTAATTTCCATAATGACACTGATTTAAATGAGATGTTACAAAGACTAAAAACTACATACATATAAATTTCTTAAACACGTGGGCAATCTTTCAAAAATCATTCAGATATAAATGTATCTAAACCAACACTGTTTCACAGAAATATGACATAAGCCATATATGCAAGCCATATATGGAATTTCAATTTTTCTCATCATTGATAAATTTCATGAGAGGTAAAATAATTTTAGTAATCTATTTTATTAACCTAATACATCCAAAACACTATCACTTCAACATGTAATCAATATAGTAATAATCTTGAGATACATTCTTTTTCATACTAAGCCTCTGAAGTCTGGTGTGTACTTGATATTTGACAGCAGATCTCAGTAGCCACATTTCAAGTGCTCAGTAGCCACTCAGGATAGCAGCTGTCGTAGGAATAGTGTAAGTATCACCTTGACGTCTAAGTGCTCAATTTAATACTTTTTCTAATAATAAAAGGGTTTTATTAGGCATATGAATGATTGTAATTTTATTTTATTTTTTCATTTTTTTTAATGTTTATTTTTGAGAGAGATACAGAGTGGGAGAAGGGGAGGGGCAGAGAGAGGAAGACACAGAATCTGAAGGAGGCTACAGGCTCCATGCTGTCAGCACAGAGCCCGATGTGGGGCTTGAACCCACCAATCGTGAGATCATGACCGGAGATGAAGTCAGACACTTAACTGACTGAGCCACCCAGGCGCCCCTGAATAACTGTGATTTAAAAAAAATTTTTTTTATATTTTATTTATTTCTGAGAGAGAAAGAGACACAGCATGAGCAGGGGAGGGTCAGAGAGAAAGGGAGACATAGAATCTGAAACAGGCTCCAGGCTCTGAGCTGTCAGCACAGAGCCTGACATGGGCTTGAACCCACAAACCGCGAGATCATGACTGAGCTGAAGTCGGACGCTTAACCGACTGAGCTACCCAGGTGCTCTGAATAATTGTGATTTTATTTATTTTTTTATTATTTTTTTTTAATTTTTTTTTTTTAAATGTTTTATTTATTTCTAGGAGAGAGAGAGAGACAGCGTGAGCAGGGGAGGGTCAGAGAGAGAGGGTGTCACAGACTGAAACAGGCTCCAGGCTCCGAGCTGGCAGTCAGCACAGAGCCCGACGCGGGGCTCGAACCCACGAACCGCAAGATCATGACTTAAGCGAAAGTCGGACGCTTAACCGACTAAGCCACCCAGGCGCCCCTGAATAATTGTGATTTTAAAGTAGAAGGCAAGTTCCCTTAAAAATAGGCAAGTCCTCTTGTTACACGTTTAGTACTGAATCGATGCTTTTTCCTCCTTATTTATTTCCATATCTCAGCTTCGGCATGAAAAATTTAGGTGTTTTGTCTTTTTCTGATCCAAACTTTTAAAGATACACTTAGAGGGGCCACCTGGGTGGTTCACTCAGTTAAGTGTCTGCCTCTTGATCTCAGCTGAGGTCATGATCTCACAGTTTCTGGGTTCCAGCCCCGACTCGAGGTCTGGGCTGATGGCACAGAGCCTGTTCGGGATTCCGTCTCTCCCTCTCTCTGCTCCTCCCCCACCTGTTCTCTCTCTCTCAGACTCTCTCAAAATAGATACATAAACTGTAAAAAAAAATAAATAAAGATAGAGGTGCCTGGGTGGCTCAGTTGGATAAGTGTTCAACTTTGGCTCAGGTCATGATTTCACAGTTTCGGAGTTCGAGCCCCGAGTCGGGATCTGTGCTGACAGCTCAGAGCCTGGAGCCTGCTTCAGATTCTGTGTCTCCCGCTCTCTCTGCTCCTCCCCTGCTCACACTCTCTCTCTCAAAAAATTTTTTTGAATAAAAAATAAATAAACATATACCTAGAGTATTATTTTTACTATGGAACCACAGCTAAACACAAATCAAAGTGCTCAAGAATTCTATACCCAGAGTCCCATGGGCATGACTGCCACAGGTCTGTGACCCTGAACTCTGCCTCCCTGCTTGCAATAGGAAGAAGGTGCACCTCTGCTTCCATTATGATTTCCTATTCAGAGTATGCTCTTCCCACCTAGAATTACCCCTGGTACATGCCTGTGTTCAAGGGAGCCCAAGTACGCAGATTACATTTTATTTCCCTGAGAGCCTTGGTCTTCTTAAATCTAACTTAGGCCTTTTTATTTCGGTATTTTCAAAATGAGTTCAATACAAATGATCAAAAATACGGGACAGGCTGGGATTGTGATAATTACTCTGCTTTAACAAATTACAAGAGTATTTTTGGTTACCTCTGGGTTTTTTCTTCATCTTGATATGCGTCCTTTTAAATCTTAAAGAAATATCGTGGAATACTGGAGGATAAAAACATAAGCATAAAAAGAATTAGGTATGTAGCTTTAATGCCCTTGTAAATACTACAATACAACAAATACTACCTAAGCAGCCAGCACACATTGGCCAAGGATAAGTGACAACACTCTGATTTCAGAGTTAGAAGTTACTAACCTTCTTAGGGAAGAAAATGTTTCTGCATTTTATATAATTATTTGTTCCAGAACATGGTAACAAGCAGAGAAACACAAAGATGCCTTAGAAATATACTGTCACACTTAATGAAACAAGTGTAATCCTGCAAATGATTGACACTCACTTGTATGGTCTTCGTATCGTTCTATATAGTGTAAATAGTGTATTGCTCTGTTCTTTGCCTGAAAGAAAGAAGGAAAACATTTTTCTTAAAACTACTGTTGGAATTTCCATTTTCTTGGAGATGTTAAAAAATAGCTTGCAGAAAATATTACGGAAAATTTCAAACTTACATAAACACTTCATGATACACTTCTAAAAGCTAAGGATTCAACTTTAAAAATTTATAACCACAGTATCACTATCATATCTAAAAATATTAACAATAATTCCTTAGCATCTTTGAACATCCTGTCAGAGTTCAAGCCTTCCCAGCTGTCTCACACTTTTGGTCAGCAATCACAAGTCTGCTAAAAAAGATGCAAAAGAAAAGAGGTACTGCTCTGACCCTCCCTTAGGGGAGGGTTCTTATTTTTATTATTTTGTGTGTGTGTGATTCTAATGGTACCTAGCACATCGATCTTTTACTATCACAAAAGAAAAATGTACATACTTTTCTGAAAGCATCCACTCGTTCAGTGGCTTTCCCAATGGCAAAACCTTAAAAAAAAAGGTAAAAATATAAAAAGGGGCATAAATTTGGCACATACTGTCTTTCACTACATTTTAGATTTCGGTTCCTACAATATTTGATAGCATTTCACTTGTCTTCTGCCCACAGAAAACCTGCTATCCAAAACAAAACATAAAACATGAGGCCTGTTTTGGGGCATTTTGGAAAGATTACATTTGAAAGCATCTATGAAATCCAGGGTTAGGTGTGTAACACTACCTTTTATAAATCTGTAGATAAAACTAAATATACTTAAACAAAAACTAATCATGCTCTCAACTAATGAGATAAATGGTTTTGAACATTTTTTAAACTGATTAAAATAACTGGAAAGGTAGGGAAAAAATATACATTCCTATAGAGAAAAACCATGACTTCACTTAAAAATACAATTGATTTCAATTAACCAGGAAATAAAATCAATTCTTTAGTTTGTGAATGCTTAACCCTATAAAATGAAATTTATCACAAATTAATGGAAATGCTGTCATTATTTGCTATCACCATTATTTTGAAGAATGTTATTTTATTTTTAAATTATATGTAAGAAAGTAACGTAAAGCAGGGCATCTGGGTGGCTCAGTTGGTTGAGTGTCTGACTCTTGATTTCGGCTCAGATCATTATCTCACAGTTTGTGAGTTCAAGCCTTGCATGGGGCTCTATGCTAATAGCACGGAGTTTGCTTGGGATTCTCTCTCCCTCTCTCTGCTCCTTTTCCTCTTGTACTCTCTCTCTCTCAAAATATATAAATAAACTTTTAAAAGAAAGTGTCAGTAGACAGCTTTCCAATTTTCTTTCCTGTGCATGTTCACGTATACATTGAAAATCAGATGTTCACTGGGGAGATTTTACAGACAAGTATAAAGAAGAAATGACTGGCAAACCTACCGATTAAACATTATTAACCATCTGAGTGTATATCCTTCCAGTCTTTCCATATAAACGTACTTTATATAAAAAAACAAAAAATTGAGATTATATTATAATGGCTACAGCATATTACAGTGTGTGGCTATACTTTTTTTTTTAAAGAGTGGTCACACACACATGCACACAAGAGAGGGATAGCAGAAAAAGAGGGAGAGGGAGGGGGAAGGGGGAGAGGGAGGAGGAGAGGGAGGGAGGGAGGGAGGGAGGGAGAGAGAGAAAGAGAGAGAGAGAGAGAGAGAGAGAGAGAGAGAGAGAGAGAGAGAGAGAGAGAGGCTCCATACTGAAAGCACAGAGCCTGATGCAGAGCTCAAACCCACGAACCATGAGATTATGACCTGAATTGAAATCAAGAGTCAGATGCTTAANGAGAGAGAGAGAGAGAGAGAGAGAGAGAGAGAGAGAGAGAGAGAGAGAGAGAGAGAGAATTTTAAGCAGGTTCTATGGCCAGCACAGGGCCTATGGGGCTCAATCTCAGGATTGTGAGATTATGACCTGAATTGAAATCAAGAGTAAGATGCTTAAGCAAATGAGTCACCCAGGTGCTCTGGATATACTCTTATTGTAACTATGCCCCTACAGTTGAACACTTGGTGGCTTTCCCTCCCTAATTTTCCCCTGTTATACATAATACAACAATGTCTTACATCTTTTAAAATAGCCATTTTTCTCATAGAAAAAGGCAGATAGAGGAAGTTCTGTTCCTTTTCCCTCCAAGGGATTTTATGGGTTTACCACAAGGTTTATGACCCAGACCACTTAAAAGGCTTAATGTGTACAAGGAGTCTGGGCACCAGCAAGAACCCTCGGGACTCCAGAGCCACACCCAGGCCACACCTGTCCTGTGCCCCCACCACGAGCACCACACACATCACACCCCGTTCACCTGCAGCTCCTCTGCCGTTCCCCACAGCAACCAGGACACGGACTGATCTCTTTCTTCCCTCTTTTGCTGTCATATTGAAAACATTTCTTACCTAAAAGACAAAATGTTTCCTACATATTACACCTGAAGAAAGTTCTGAAGTAGGGAAATGGACTGAGCTCCTTACACACACACAGCCCCATAGTGTGTAGCTGCAACATCCTCAAAGTCATGAGCAGCAACAGCAAACTTTCTCCAAAGGAAACCACTCTCTGCAGTTTCTCCAGTGGTAAAATGGAACTTTCCCTTTCTATTTCCTAAGGTTGTTAGAAGGCTGAACTGAGATAACTTTTGAAGGGATTAGAAACCATACAACTTAATATACACTATTTAGTGAACTTCATAAAGGAAGAAAGTTGCTAACCATACTTTGAAAGAATTTGTAACTGACTAATTGTAAGACATATTCCTGGTAATCAGAGATGTTAAAATACGGAAGACGTGTATCTTAGAAATGAAAATGCAGTGTACAGAAAGAATGAGCATAGGGTTGGATCTCTATGCTAAGGATTGGGCTCACAGGCTCACCGGATAATACAAAATTTGGAAATACCTGCTTATTATGAACTACAGGAAAATCTGTGTTTTGTTGGTTTGTGTTGTTTTGTTTTGGCATATTTAAAAGGCCAGGATCTATGAAACTGTTACCTTTCCCAAAAATAAGGTTAAAGGAAAAGAGAGCTCAAGTCCACGCCCATGGATAATCTCACAGGTAGTCATCCACACATATAGGAATTCTTCAAAGGGGTTACCTTCCGAAAGATATAAACTGGGACCCAAAGACATAAGATGCTTGTAAACATAAAGTACTGAAATTGATGAAATGATATACATATTCAATCACAAAATCAATAAACGGTTATTCCAAATGATCGTTAACCGTGGCCAAGTATGCAGCACTAGCTCAAAGGGAAGTGGACTGTTTTGGTGATGTTCAACCACCCTGGAAAGAGTGACTGAAATTTCCCTGACACAGGCTTCAGTTTCAAGGACCCGCAAACAGCCCAAAGGATTGTTTCCCCGTCAAGAGCTGGGCATTCACAGCAACTCCAAGCTGTCTTCCCCTACCCCATGGACCCTCCCCTCTGCCTCCTGAACGGAGTGCCAGAACAGACTGCTGATGCTACTTTAGCTTTAGAAAGGAGTGTTTCAATAGTAATCTCCAAATTCCATTCTTGACCATACATCGAATTGTCTTGTCCTGAGACTGCAACTGGTAGCCCCCAAAAAGGGCAGCAGTCAGGACAGTCAAGATCAAGTGAAATTAAAGTTTCAGTATTCCTTTATCCAAATCAGCTGTGTCTCAGAAAAAAATCATGCACCAAAGGCTTTTCCTCACGGCTCCTCTTGCGCTATTCCCGCTGTACCCACCCCAACTTCTCCAAAGGCTCATCTGGGTATTTGATTCAGCATGCCTACCTCAAGTACTCTGGTATCAAAATCATCGTATGTTTCTGTAGAGAGAAAAGAAGAAGGCATGTAGATAAATGGGTCTATACAATCGGTGCATGAAAGCATTTTTCCACACAGGCACCATCACCGATTTTTAACTGAGGAAGAATCTCAGATCTTTTGTGCCACTCCCAAGGCCACGCTGTGGTCCTCCATGACCACCAGACTGCTCCACCACTAAATCCATAAAACTCAGCCACCATCTTCCTGACTGCATCCTCCGACCCCTCCATAAAACTCAGCCACCATCTCCCTGACTGCATCCTCCGACCCCTCCAGCTCTCTCACTCAACAACTCTCAAGGTTGTTCCTAGAGCTCCTCAGCACCACCAGACTCTTGACCACTTCTTCCTCTTCCCTCTGACCCCCTCTGGTCTTCACAGCCTCTGCCACTCAGCCAAGACACCGCAAGCCATCACTTCCACCAGATCTAGCAAATATCCTCAACTTCCTCACCCCCTTCTCTCCCTACCATACTATCAAGGCCAGAATCAATGCAACTGCCTGGCCACCTGGCCTGCTGGGTGCTGCTGGACAGAAGTCAAAGCATAGTACACAAGTAGGCCACTAAAAATTCAATTCAGTCAAGTCCTCCCTGCTGCCTGCTGGCCTTTTATGTCCGTTTAGGTCTCTTTCCACTCACCACAGCAGCCATTCCAAACACTCTGTGTTCTTTGATTTTTATTAACTTTTTCCTATAGAAAATTTCAATCATATAAAAAATGAGAGAACAGAAAAATGAAATCATACATACCCATTAGTCAGCTTCAACAATTATCAACTCCTAGCCAATCTTCTTTCCTCTAAGCTCTGTCCAATTTAGTATCTTAAATTCCTCATATGAGTGAAGTCATATATTTGTCCTTCCTACTCCATTGGGTAATTTTTTAAATTAATTAACTAATTAATTGGTTAATTTACATCCCAGTTAGTTAGCATATAGTGCAACAATGATTTCAGGAGATTCCTTAATGCCCCTTACCCATTTAGCCCATCCCCCCCCCCACAACCCCTCCTGCAACCCTCTGTTTGTTCTCTGTATTTAAAAGTCTCTTACGTTTTGTCTCATTCCCTGTTTTTGTATTATTTTGCTTCCCTTATGTTCATCTGTTTTGTATCTTAAATTCCTCATATGAGTGAAGCCATATGATATTTATCTTTCTCTTACTAATTTCGCTTAGCATAATACCCTCCAGCTCCATCCACATAGTTGCAAATGGCAAGACTTCATTCTTTTTGATTGCTGAGTAATGCTCCATTACATATTTATACCACATCTTCTTTATCCATTTATCTGTTGATGGACATTTGGGCTCTTTCCATACTTTGGCTATTGTTGACAGCACTGCTATAAACATTGGGGTCATGTGCCCCTTCAAAACAACATACCTGTATCCCTAGTAGTGCAATTGTTGGGTCATAGCATAGTTCTATTTTTAATTTTTTGAAGAATCTCTATACTGTTTTCCAGAGTAGCTGCACTAGTCTGCATTCCCAACAGCAGTGCAAAAGAGATCCTCTATCTCTGCATCCTTGCCAACATCTATTGTTGCCTAAGTTGTTAATGTTAGTCATTCTGACAGGAGTCAGGTGGTATCTCATTGTGGTTTTGATTTGTACTTCCCTGATGATGCATGATGTTGAGCATTTTTTCATGTGTCTGTAGCCATCTGGATGTCTTCTTTAGAGAAGTGTCTATTCACGTCTTTTGCCCATTTCTCCACTGGATTACTCATTTTTGGGGGGTGTTGAGTTTTATAAGTTCTTTATAGATTCTGGATACTTACCCTTTATCTGATATGTCCTTTGCAAATATCTTCTCCCATTCTGTCAGCTACCTTTTAGTTTTGCTGCCACTGGGTAATTTTGAAGCCAGTTCTAGATACCTTGCTCCCTCATCAAAATATTCTGGTGCCCATGCTCATCAATGCCCCCATCCTACTTTCAGCAGATGACCCCACCTCTTCCTCACAGACTAACTGAAGCCACCAGATAGCTACCACCCACAACCATGCACACTCACATTTTCACTACCAACAACACAGGCTCCACCTGAATCCATAGTCATGAGTTAATCCACTTATCCACTCTGGGTTGGGCCCTCATTAGGGTTTTAGTTTATGGGTTTCTTTCTCTCCCTCCTATACCTTCTTCCTCTCAACTGAAGCATTTTTGCTCCATTCTAAGCATGTTTACCTGAATCTCTCCATCTCAACTTCTCTCTTCTTTAAGCCAAACTTAACAAAGTAACCAAACTCTTGTCTATTTCTTCATCTTCTACTCATTGACAATAGTGAATTTTTCAGATGAGTTTTACTTCTTTACATATTCAGGATGGGGTGGTAGGCGGAGGACTTTGTTTTCTAAGTTGGTCTGGTAAGTATTACCAATTTTTATTTATGTATGCTTTTATGAGGGTGAGTGACGACTATCTGGTTTATCTTCTGTTATCAAAACAGAACTCCCATGCCATGCTGCTCCATAGGTACCCCCTGAGCACCTGTGTTTGGGGAACTGCACCCGACAAGTGGCTTTCATACTACCACATTCAAGGCTCTAAGCCACCCAATAAGGATGCCGGAAGCCAGTGCTTTGCATCCTGTGTGCAGACTACTTCTTGGGTATAGGCCTATAGCATTCCATAAAATACAACCGAATAATAATGTGAAGCTATTTCAATAATGCTCAAATTCCTTTTTTTGGAAAAAGGCAATCTAAACAGACAAATAAAATCCTCTTAAGAATTCTAGAACTACAAGTACTCTCTCTGTCACAAAGGTAAGCAACACCAGGACTCAGTTACCTCCACTGGGACCAGGGTCCGGGGGGCCAAGACTGACGCCTCCCCACGTGTTTCCACTCCACCCTCGCTCCCGTTTAACCTTCATCTTCCTCTTCCGTTCCCACTCTTCCCTCTGCTGGACCATATCAGCCTCCATCTTCTCCTGCTCTTCCTTGCTTCTTTGGGCAATGGCCTGCACAGCTCCATCTTTCATGAGAGGGACATTCAGACCAGGCCATAGGAAGCCATGACGCCCTGAAGGTTTGAAAACATACATTAATAAGAAATTTTTTTTTACACTTACTTATTTTTGAGAAACAGAGTGAGACAGCGAGCGCATTGAGTAGGGAAGGAGCAGAGAGAGAAGGAGACACAGAATCTGAAGCAGGCTGCAGGCTCCAGGCTCTGGGCAAGCATTCAGCACAGAGCCTGATGTGGGGCTCAAACCCATGAACCACGAGATCATGACCTGAGCCAAAGTCGGACGCTCAACCGACTGAGACACCCAGACATCCCACATTAATCAGAATTTTTAAAAATCGTTCATTTCTTGGGGTGCCTCAGTCAGTTAAGCGTCTGACTTCACCACAGGTCATGATCTCACAGTTCATGGGTTCGAGCACCGCATCGGGCTCTGTGTTGAAAGCTCAGAACCTGGAACCTGCTTCAGATTCTGTGTCTCCCTGTTTCTCTACTCTTCCCCAGCTCACATTCTGTCTCTGTCTCTCTCAAAACTAAAATTAAAAATGTTAAAAAAAAATTGTTTTAAATCAATTTCATTTCTAAAGTGGTAAAATGGCAGGCAATGGGTATACAGATAACTATACTGCTGGAGGGAGCTTAAACTAACAACCACTTGGCAGGTCACTTGGCACTATCAATTAAAACTTTAAGTGTACCTTCCGTAAGAACTAGTAATCCCACTTCATGTTACCTACAGAAACACTCCCACACCATTACGAGGCTTGTGTGCTTGGACAAGGAAGCCCATGGAAGTGTTACTTGTAAAGGCAAAGAGTGGAAACAATCTAAATGTACAGTGATACAGGACTGGTTAAATGACTATGGCACCTTCAACCCATAAAATATTCTACACTAAATTTAAAGAATGAGATTGCTATACAGATTTTAATGTGGAACAATTTCTAAAACTTAGTATTGAGTGAAAAAAAGAAATTTTTGATAGTATGTGCCATATGATAGAATTTACTTTTTTAAAAAGAAAATATGTATTTTTTTAGGATATTTATGTATATAATAATATTTAAAAGGGCCAGAAGAAGGGGCGCTTGGGTGGCTCAGTTAGTTAAGCATCTGACTTCGGCGCAGATCACGATCTCATGGTTCATGGATTCAAGCCCCACACTGGGCTCTGTGCTGACAGCTCAGAGTATGGAGCCTGCTTCGGATTCTGTGTCTCCTTCTCTCTTTGCCCCTCCCCTTCTCGTACTCTGTGTCTCAAAAATAAATATTAAAAAAAATTTTAGGGGTGGCACCTGAGTGGCTCAGTCGGTTAGCGTCCAACTTCGACTCAGCTCATGATCTCACAGCTTGTGAGTTCGAGCTCCACGTCAGACTCTGTTGACAGCTCAGGGCCTGGAGCCTACTTCAGATTCTGTGTCTCCCTCTCTCTGCCCCTTCCCCAGCTCACACTCTATCTCTTTCTCTCTCTCTCAAAAATAAACACTAAAAAAATTTTCTTAAATTTTTTTTAAATAAAACTTTAAAAAGGTCAGAAGAAAACACACCAAAATGAGATCAATGCCTTCCTTAGGGGCAGCAACTGGGATGGGGTCGGGGGAGATAGGGCATCAAGGGGACTTTAGGCTTCTCTACAATCATTAAATTTTTTACTGAGAAAGTACACATATAACCTTTTAAAAAAGTTAAAAAATTAAATGAGATACAAGGTGAGTCATCAGAGAAAAGGATTCAAGTAGACATGTAAGTACAGTGAAAGGTGGTTTCTTTATGTCTGAAGGCTATTAATACCAAGGATAATTTGTCAACAATCATAGCACAAACTGTCAATCAAAGGACACGATACGAGTTTTACTCTTCAAAAAACACAAGTATAAACAATCATGTGTTCTAGGGGTTGGCAGACCCAGACCCAGGGGCCCAATCCTGCCCACCACTCGTTTTTGTAAAGTTTTACTGGAACACAGCTCTCCTGGTTACATTGTTTTGTCCAGGACTGCTGCTGCGCCCCTTAGCAGAGCTGAAGAGTTGTAACAGAGTCCATGTGGCTCACAAAGCTAAAAATATTGACTATCTGGCCCCCTACAGAGGTTTGCCAACTTTCACTGAATCCTAAGATCTGTGAGGGCACTGAAGGTCACAGAAGCCGTGGCACAAGGGTCCTTAGGCTTGTTGAATAAATAACCAAATGAATTCCTTTCTATGGGATTTCCTTCCCCCAGAATCACAGGGCATTAAGTGAGCCATTTGGTTTAACTCTAAACTGCAGACCTAATGACCTTCATGAGAAATGCACAAAAATCTCTATGAAACTGGGAGGGAAACCTTAAAAAGCAAATTAGACTTTTTATAAATAAGCTTACCTTCACCAATGATCTGACCCCTGTTCAAATCCTTTCTTTTCTTTTTCTTAGTTCTTTTGCCTCTTCCTTTTCTGGCTCCTGCACCAGTCTCTGCTAGAGCGCCTTTCCATAGCTCATCTGCTGTCACTGTAACGACACAGGTTTTTTGGTTTTTTAATTATCAAGCAATGATCTATGGTCCCCTGATGAATAGAAAAGGCTTGAAGAAACCAGCTCACTTGTATCTCTGTGGTGATGAAAGTAAAATTAAATCATTCTTTGTACATATCAAACACATGGTTACATCTGGACAACCCAGGAGATGATTCTACTATTTTCAAAGCACTGGCCTCCCTCTGCAAAAGACGGCCAACATTGAAATCCCATGTGCCCAGTAGTCCGTTTCCCTGACATCTTAGCAACTATGTTTCAGGTCTCTTCCCTGCCCTCTTGCCACCACTATAACCACTGAGATTACACGGAGCCTTCTTACATACAGGTATCTTAATCCAAACAATAACCAACCTTGCAATCTGAACCCATAAATCTTAATACTGTGGACTGTGTGTTCTATTCTTCTATGAATGCCCCAAATACCTCTGTGAATCCTTCAAAATAAGATGCCCACATTCACCTTCAACTCTAATTAAAATCTAATCAATACACAGGAAGGAATGAGGATGTAGGGCTCTGATGGTTAATACTTGATTGCAATGTGTATATTCTTAAATCCTGCTTGCCTTTCACTTTATGTATAAACCCCTACACTGCTGATTTATTTCCATTTGTGAATTTCTAGAATCCCCAAATCTTTTTCTACCATACATTTCAATCAGTATTTTCCCCTTTGTACTTGCAGAACATTCAGACTTTTGTCACTACTGTATTCTATTGATGCAGCTAACTTAAATCCTATCTTCCCAAAGACTTCCAGCCTTTCACAGTATCACCAAGTGATTTTAGTCATAGATTCTGTCCCATTACCAATTTCTTTAATAAAGAATCACAGCCACACAAATGTTGTATTATTCAAACTCTAAGATACATGTATCTACGTGCCTGAAATACTAAACATGTTCTGGAAAACAAATGAGCATCTTCATTCTCTCACCCTTAGGGCTTAAAAGTTCTAACTGCTTGCTTCCTGAAAGGTCTTCCCTTTATCTTCTGGGTAGAAAACATGGAAAGAGAAACATGTTTTGGATTTATATTTTTAAATGCTTTGTATCTGTTCAGTATCTCATTTATCTAAACACATACATACTATTATAGCTGATCTTCATAACTGAAGCTCAGAAAAGTAACAGATTACACATCACATGCTGCTTTGCATATCCCTGATCTGAGCAAAGGCTTTAAATTGAGCTCAAACTTTGACACCAATTCACTTAAAAGAATCACAAGTTTGAAATAAAATTACAAAACCCAAACTAAATTCCCACTAATCACTTGATTTTATTTCCTAACTGCTTAAAAAGGAGGCTACCTATAGATGCCCTCAAAAACTCACAAGTCTACAATGAAAGCACTTTGAATGCAGGCATATTAAGAAGTCAATCAATTAGAGGGGCGCCTGGGTGGCTTAGTCGGTTAAGCGTCTGACTTTCGCTTAGGTCATGATCTCGCGGTTCGTGGGTTCGAGCCCCGCGTCGGGCTCTGTGCTGACTGCCAGCTCAGAGCCTGGAGCCTGTTTCAGTCTGTGACTCCCTCTCTCTCTGACCCTCCCCTGCTCACGCTGTCTCTCTCTCTCTCCTAGAAATAAATAAAACATTAAAAAAAAAAAATTAAAAAAAAAAAAGAAGTCAATCAATTAGAGTTTTTCTTCACTTAGAAGAAGCAAATCACTCATTAATACTAAAAAGGGTCTGATTTTTAAAATCTTAATATTGAGACAAAGATGTAAAAGACTAAAGAGTTTAGTTCATTTTTTTTACATATTCTAAGAAGAAAATAAAATTCCAAACTACATCTGGAAAAGACAGTAAGTCATATATGAACTTTTGAATTTGAATGCCTTTATGCTATTAAAAATGGTTTTAGTCTTTTTTCAGATTATAACAGGAACAGTTTTTTTTTTTTTAATTTGGAAAATACAGGGGTCCCTGGGTGGTTCAGTTGGTTAAGCAACCGACTTCGGCTCATGTCCTTTCTCATGGTCCATGCATTCGAGCCCCACCTCAGGCTGTGTGCTGACAGCTTTCTCTCTCTCTCTCTCTGCCCCTCTCCTGCTCACACTCGGTCCCTTTCTTTCTCAAAAATACATAAACACTGGGGTGCCTGGGTGGTTCAGTCGGTTAAGTGTCTTTGGCTCAGGTCATGATATCACAGTTCATGGGTCCCAGCCCCACATTGGACTCTGTGCTGACAGTCAGCTCAGAGCCTGGAGCCTGTTTTGGATTCTGTGTCTCCCTCTCTCTCTGACCCTCCCCTGTTAATGCTGTCTCTTCTCTCAGAAACAAATAAAACATTTTAAATATAAATAAACAAACATTAAAAAATAATAAAATGAAATAAAAAATGAAACTTGGAAAATATAAACAGTATGATGAGGATACGAAAATTAATCATAATCCCACTGTTAAATCAGAACATCTGTTTTTTTCTTCATGCATATATATATATACACACATATATATATATATACATATGCTTCATTTGTTTTACACAAAACTGAAATTATACTGTATGTACAATCTTTCATCCTGTTTTTTTTACATATTACATTGTGAGCCTTATCTCATATTCTTACTATTACTCACAAATATAATTTTTTTAATGGCCCCAAGCTGAATTAAGTTGTATGACAGAGATTTTACTATTTTAACTTCAGAACATACTGGTCTAAGATTCTAATTAACCTGAAATGTTATTTAGAATAGATTTACTGTTATTTCAACTCTTTCTGTCATTTCTGGAAGGGCTTAGGTAGATTAACATATTTACATGTTAACTACCATAGGTAAAATAAATTTTCTGTTTTATACACACACACACACACATATGTAAAATCCACTATTACATCCAATTTGGTACGTGGAGTATTTTGGTCTTAATTATGCTAAGTAAACTTGCTTGTCTGCTAATCTGGATCAAAGGGATTCTTATGGTAGATCCCCTCCATGGCAGATTTACAAGTACAATGTTAAATACTCTTTGAAAATCTTACTGAGTTTTGATAAATTTTAGTTTTTGGTATTTTTGGTGTGGTTTTTTTTTTTTTTTTAAGAGTTACAAAATCAAAGACTATTTCCTACTGAAACAGCAAAAGCTAACTAGCTTTTGAACTAGACATGGTAGTTTCAACTGAATTCATCCTCTTAAAGTTAATCTTAGTATGACTTGGGAGCAATAAACTCATAAGGGTTCAGAGTCCTGTAACTGGGGAAGAGCATAGGCTAATGGAGAGTCAGAGGCAGGTGTCAAACAACAGTGCAGGGACAGGGGTGTCAATGGGCGAGGGGCACCTCTAGAACAAGAAGAATTAGAGAAAAGGACTTCGAGGAAAAGACTACGGACAGTCCCTGGGTCATGATGGTTTGACTTATAATTTTTCAACTTTATGATGGTGCAAAAGCGATATATATGCCGTAGAAACCGTACTTCGAATTTTGAGTTTTGATCTTTTCCTCTTTTCTCTTTGCACCAAAATCCATAGATACAACTGAGCCTGTGTTACTTGCAATCCCCCTACGGCCTGGTCCCCGTTTCTGCACTGCTACACAAATGACCTACCTACTATGAGACTTCCAAATTGAAGTGATCTTCAATACAAGTGACAACTAAATACTCTACAGTCATAACACTGCACTGAAGAAGTCTATGTACTGACATGGAAAACCGTCTAATACTCTGCTGCCTGAAAAAAGTAGCCAACCAGTATTTCAGGGTAGTGGAATTATAGGAGATTTTCTTCTTTTTGATTTTCTGTATTTACCAAATAATCTAAAATGAATTGGCTTTATAATCCTAATTTCTTTTTTTTAAACAGAAACTTTTTTAAAGTAATCTCTACACCCAACATGTAGCATGAACTCACAACCCCAAGACTGAGAGTTACATGCTCTCCTGAATAAGTCAGCCAAGCGCCCCAATTCTAATTTCTTTTAAGTTGTCCAATGTGACTTCTGAAATCAATCTCCATTATTACTAATAAAGATAATTTCAGTTCAGATTGGACTATTTCAAATTCTATGCAACTAGGAGCAGTGTTAGCAAAACAATGTCTACTTAAAATTAACTTTTCCTGATTTTGACTCTCTCCTCAACTGAAGTGCAACTAAAAACAGATTTTGATTATATTCTTGATGTGAATCTACATCAGCAGGGATCTGGGCCAGAATTTAATACTCCTTAGGTCTCAAGTACCCAACCAAGGGGAGAGTAAACGAGTACGTCTCAAAGAACAGTACAAATACAGCTGGTAATACATGAGATAATCCTATTATCTAAGGAATATTTTTATTTTAATAACACATCATATACTAATCTTTAAAGTGTTCGTTCACTAAAGGAAGAAGAAAAAGAAGAAAAATTAAGACACAAAAGCAACTTTTATTTTCCTGTTTTATGAAATGGGAAGTCTACATACATTTAGTGAAGAAACTGTAGGATCTATACTGTTGACCCATCAAGTTTCTGGGAGAGGAAATACAGCATTGTGTCTGTAGTACACGGGTCAGGCTGGTGAAATGATGGCTGCCTCTGGTTCCTGGAGATAACACAGGGCCTGTAGGTATATGGAATAAAATTCTGAGTTAGATGTTTAATGCCTGTGGAAAAATACTGCCAGCACCAAAGAATTAACCATTACTAATGAAAATAAGTCACTAAAATCCCAAACTTTTAAGAATCATATTTTGAGGACAGTCTTTCTTTAAAACATAAATCAAAACTTTATTCTACTAACCTAAATGCCATCCTAGTTACAGAAGTTACAGTCCATCCACACAATGGATGTAGCCATCTTAAGAAAAAAGCAGATCTGTCCTTCTCAGGATTGTTTCATTGCCCTTAGGAGCCCACGATCAACCGTCTACTCTTGGCAAATTGCGACCTCTGGTGTATGAGCAGGGCAATGAACCCGTGCGGAAAGTCCTATAAATGATCTGCTGAGAAGAGCAAGGTGCAGAACAGTACAGCATCCTGCCCTTTGTGTTGCAAAAACCAGGAAGGGATATGAATATACTTTATAGATTAATTTCAGAAGCATAAAGGAAACTGGGAACAGCGGTTGCCTCTGAGGAAGAAAACTGATGCACCTGGAGTTCGTCTGAGAGATTTGCTTTTTTGCATTTCCTGCAATTTTTCTAACTATATGCACGTATCACATAAAGTTTTTATAAACAGCCATGTCCTAGAGGCAGCCATTTGACCAATCCCGCGGATGGTGGTGTCCAGTGAGGGAAATGGCAGGGGTGAGAGGAACTAGTGGACTCAAGGAAATGGGAATATTGATTACAAAAAGTGTACACACTCCAGCTTTGCATTTCAATGGAGAATTTATTTAGTCACTATGAGAAAAGTGAGGAGGCGGATTAAAACAGCCCTCAAGAGAATAAAGTTTATTCAAGGGCAACAGGCTTGAACAGAAAGCCAAAGAGTGAGAGCAGCTATTTTCAAGTCTCTGAGAAGGCAGCCCAGTCTCTGGCCTTCCTCACAGAAGCTTTCCGCAGGCCCCACATCAGCTCAGGTTGGCGACACTACCTGGCTTACAAGAGAGGGCACAGTCAGTAGTTTACCAATGAATGAGTCACCCAACTAGTCAGTAAACAAATAAAGGAAAGGGCTCAGGTCATCACACTCTTCTGAACCCCTCAAGCAAGATGTGAAGGCATCTTGAAAAGTGGGGTTAACAATATGAAAGGGAGGAAGACTAAAAGTAAAGCTCAGCACAGAGTTCCAAAAGGTCAAGGACATGATGAGATTTCAAGTCTGCCCTAACCATAGGAAAAGGCAGGGTTTCACTGACTGTAAGTACAACATGGACTGAGCAAGGTTTCCTTTCCTTCTGGAGGGTGACTAAAGAGAGAGCCCTGTGCTATGTCAGTGTAGGAGCAAAGGCCTCTGCAAAGGCCTGCATTACTAAGAAGCATCATAGTACCCAGACAGCTTAGGACCCAGTCCTGCCTATGCAATCTTGAGCAAGTCCCTTAGCCTCTCACAGACTCACTCCATCATCCGCAAAATGGAAAGGACAACCCCCTCATAAAAACTGGTGAGGATTAACCAAAATAACATGTTACAAGCCTGACACATAGGAATTACTCAAAAGCTTGTAGCTGTTATTTTCTAAAGCCTTGAACTATAACAACTGTAATCATAAAAAATTTGAAAAATACTCTAGACCTTATGTATTTCCCTTATAAAGGATGTGCTCTGTTTATTTATATTTACGTAAAGTTCTCTCTAGCATTAGATCTTGTAAGAGACGGTATTTGGATAAATGAATCTCACCATTGCTGAGAACCGTCTTCAATGCCAAAATGGAAGCAGTTGGAAGGGTGTTTAGGTAAAGCTGCCTGGACCATATGTGACCTGTAAATTTGAAAAAAAAAAAAAAATTCTTTTAAGATACTTTCTGCATTAAAAGGGAACATTTTTAACACCCAAAGAATATGAACATCTATAGAATAAAAGAACCAAGAGAAAAGTAAATGAGTGATTTCCAGGTCCCACATGACCATGTGAAGTAGGTAACATCACCTTCTCTTCATGCTCACATTTAACCAGTTACCAAGCCCTATTAATTCTATGCAAAAATCTATCAGCTGCACCCTCCCCCACGGTCTCACTGCCCTCTCTTCATTCAGCTGCCATCCCTCAGCCACAAGGTAACAACAATTCCATAGTAGGTCCTGCTACTACCCCTCTAATTCCCCATCTGCTGCCAGGCAGGCCTTTCTAAAATAACAAGTCTGGCCACCTCCCAGCTCTGATTTATCATACTTTAGCTCCCTACTCCCTGTACAACAAATTCAAAACTCCTCAACATAGCCTACATGAAGGCAACGAGGCCCCAGCCTTCCATATCAGCCTCGCCTGCCACCAATCTCTCCCCTCCACCCTCTATGACTACACCAGACTTGCAGTCATTCTTTTTTTTTTTTTTTTTTTAAAGATGGGGGTTGAGAGTGTGAGCCGGGGAGGGGGGGCGGGAATCTTAAGCTGGCTCCACACTCAGCAGAGCCCAAAGCAGGGGTCTCGATGACCCCAGGATCATGACCTGAGCTGAAATCAAGAGTTGAACAGTCAACCGAGTCACCCAGACACCCTCAAATAGTAGTCATTCTTGAACACACTGTGCTCTTCAATCCCCTATTTCTGACACGTTCTCCTGAAACACCACTCCTGGTTCCCACAGTGGACCCCCAGCACTCTGCTCCCCTCTCTCGAAACTGTGAAACCCCCGCAGCATCAGGCTGTGACCATATTATGTGCCACTTCATGTAGTACAGTGCTTCCAAATAGGTTCTGACAGCATTTACTCGTAACTGAGTTTTGAAAAGGGTACCAAGACAAATCAGTAAGGAAAGAATAATCTTTTCAAGAAATAGTGCTAGGACAAATGAATATCCTCATGCAAAAGAATGAAGTCAGAGTGTTACTTCATACCATATATAAAAGTCTGCTCAAAATGGATCAAAGACCTAAAAGTAAGAGAAAAACTATAAAGCTCTTAGAAAAAAACCAAAAGGGTAAATCATCATGACTTTGAACTTGGCAACGGTTTCTTAGATACACTAAAAGCATAAGCAACAAAAAGTAAATAGATAAATCAGACTTCACCAAAATTTAAGCATGTGTTTCAAGGGACACTATATTCAGAGAGTTAAAGGACAACACACAAATGGGGAGAAAATTTTTGCAAATCATATATCTGACAAGGAACTTGTATCCAGAGTATACAAAGAACTCTTAGAATTCATTAGTAAAAAGACAACCCAATTTAGAAATGGGTAAAGATTTGAATAGACATTTCTCCAAAGAACATTCGTAAATGGCCAAATAAACACACACACAAAAAAAATGTTTATAAGCCATCAGGGAAATGCAAATCAAAACCACAAACCGATACCACTTTACACCCACTAGAGTAACTATTACCAAAAGGACAAATAATAACAAATGTTGACAAGACTGTAGAGAAGAAAGGACCCTCATGCACTGCTGGCGGGAATGTAAAATTGTGCAGCTCCATTAGAAAACAGTCTAGCCATTCCTCAAAGTTAAACATGGAGTTACCATTTGATCCAGCAATTCCACTTGCAAGTCTATACACAACAGAAATGAAAATATTGCACACAAATATTTATAGCAACATCAGGCATAAGAGCCAAAAGGTGGAAACAACACAAATATTCACCAGCTGATAAACGGATAAACAAAACGTAGTATATATATGCAACAGAAATTCAGCCATAAAAAGGAATAAAGTACTGCTACATGCTGTAACATGAATCTTGAAAACCTATGCTACGTGAAACAAGCCAATCACAAAAAACCACATAGTATATGATTCCATCTATATGAACTATCCAGAACATGAGAACTATATAGAAAGATTAGTGGTTGCCTACAGCTGGGGGGGGGGGCGGGGGGGGGGGGGGGGGGGGGAGGGCAATGAGCAAATCAGGGGATGATAGCAAAAGGGTATATTTTTGGGGTGCTGAAAAGTTTCTAAAAATTTATTATGGTGATGGTTATATATAGATTTGTGGATATACTAAAAACCATGGGATTGTACACCTTAAGAGGATGAATTGTATGGTGTGTAAATTACATCTCTATAAAGCTGCTACCAAAAGAAAAGTTTATGATGCACCAGAAAAACAAAACAAAACAAAACAACAGGCTCTGGAGCCAGATGGTGTGGGTGCCAAAACCTGGTAACCTTGAACACGTTTCTCAACCTTTATGTCTTAATTCTTTGTAAAATGGGAATAGTAAAAGCATCTACCTCACAAAGGCAATGTATAGATGAAGTGAGGAAAAGCATAATAGTTTAAGATAGTCCCTGGAACACGGTAAGAACTCATGAAGGAAACCTACAAACGCTAAAGGTGCTATTTGAATGAAGCCTTGAAAAAAGAGGTGGTCACAACATGAACAAAGGTAAAGAATGTTCAGGTCAGATTTTCTGCCAAATCATTTCAGGTTTTCGGTTTTCAGAGGTCTTTAGATTTTGGAATTACGAACGCTGGGTTGTGGATTTACAATAAAATAGAAGGATGGGGAAAAAAGGCCAAGTCGATCATGAAGCACCAGTGGTCCACCTTATGCGAAAGGATTCAGCAGACCGCCCCTCCTCAGGTTGGAAATCAACAAGGGTGGGAGAGGACAATTAACAGCAAAACTACGGACATTCAAAACATCCTTCTTTTCAATAATGACACTGATCAGCCCGGAATCTAAAATGACTGACACTAATCCTATCCGACCCAATCTGGAGGGCTGCCTCCATCTGCTTCGAACCCCACATCGACTTCACCAAATGAACCTGTGGGTCATGCCCGCCGGGAAGGCGATGCTTGCTCCCCAGCTCCCCAAGGAGCTTCGCCAAGGACGCACAAGGAGTCTGGTGACCTGGAAGGAGCCTTGGACAGCGTCCAGACTACCCTCACTTTACAGACAGAAGCCCTGAGACCCAGAGAAGGCGCGCGGAAGCGTGCAAGGTCACACAGCGTCTCAGGGCAGGATCGGAACCCGGCACGATGGATTCAGGGGCCGTATCTACTCGGCTTCTTTCTGTCGTGCACCTGCGGGCCGCAGGCGAGCCCCGGCTCCAGCCCCCCTCTCAGAGCCCCTCTCCTCTCACCCGCCGGCACGCCACACAGCGCAGAAAGGCAGCCTGCAGCGCGTACTGCCGCCGCCATGGTGGAGCCCTGAGCGAGCCCCTGTGCAGGCTGTTTTCCCCACCGCCTGACGCGACTGTTTCTCGCCAAACGGCTGGCCACGGCCTGCGGCTGAATTCCCGAGGCCAGAGGACCGCACCGCAGCTCACACCGGGGTGGGGAAATCGTCTACACCGACCACAGGATAAAATGAGTCCGGCGCAGCCACGGACAGCCCCGCTGGGGTCCTCGCGTTAGGACCCGGGGCGGGGCTTGGGCTGGCCGCTGGTGTGTGGCAACTGGCTCGCAGTGTGTGGACCGAGGAGGCAGTGGTCGCTGGGGTGCAGGGAACAGGAGCTGCGGAACGTTCACGACAAGAAGTTCGAGGTACAGATGAGCACGAAAAGGGTCTAAGTGAAGATCCAAGGGCTGATGTCTGGAGGAGATTTAGAACTAATAGGTGAATAAGACAGAGTATAAAGTTGTTCATACCCACCTTCAGTAAAACTTTGAAGTTTATTGGATTTATTTAAGCACGTCAGTTACCTTGGATTTCACAGGCATTTATGTATTCTTCTGAGTCTAACGTTTGGTAAACGGTAGACCTATGCTACGGTTTTTCACCAGCCCCACTTGTGGCTCCATACCATCTGGGTCTGCCCGCATTATCCAAGTATGTAGACGGAGAAAAGACACGGACTTCTTGTAAGAACCTGGTATTCCTGCTCAGGCCGACCTCTGATTTTCAAATTTAGTATAAAATTACTTCAAACACAAAAAAACAAAAATTGTGACCAGTTAGGTTCCAAACATTAAGATTGACACAGTTGCTTCATCTATTCTTTATCCCTCATTGTTAACAATCAAGTCCTGTGCATTTTTTTAAAATATCTTCGTTCCTGGGCTATGTGAATTTCTTGATCTGAATATATGGGGGATATATCTTCTATTGGTGTTAGGAGTGGTGTGAGAGAGACTCAGTATTTGTATGCTTTGTGCAACTTGCTTGGCTGCATGGTCCGTTATTTCCTTTAGATTATATAGACCCTTCCTTTTGATGACCCCGAGGTGAATTACAGCCACCCCTTTAGGTTCATGCACAGCCTCTAAGACAGCTATTATTTCAGGTCCATATTTAATAGGAGAGTTATGACTTGATAATAGCCAGATTGCGTATTGCGTTTGAAATAGGGGCAATCTCTCTCCAGATTGCCCCATGCGTTTGAAAGTGAGCACTATTAACTGCTTTCTGGGCAGATGGATTTGGTGGGAGTGCTTTGGCCTCAACAGTCTGAGTCAGACTGACTATAGTGTACCCAGCTTTTTATATTCCCCTTTTCATGAAACTACTGCCACTAGTAAACCTTCATCTGCATTATCAGTAGGAGAATCTTTCAAGTCTGGTCAGCTGGAATAAACAAGATCAATAACCTCTGAACAGCTATGCTCTATAGAACTATGGCCAGGTCCAGGCATAAGGGTAGCTGGGGTTACCGGGTCTGATGGGTCTTAAGGACCACTTCTGGTGTGTCTAAAAGCATAGCCTGGTATTTAGAAAATCGCCCCCAACCCCCACCCCCATCATCCATTGGTGGCCTTTAGTTTCTAAAACGCTTTAGACCTAATATGAAGTCATTACTATCAGGGACTGTCCAGTAGTAAGTTTTGAGGCTCCTTCCACCAGGAGGGCTGCTGTATGCTTGGCTAAAGCCTCTGTTTGCAATTTTACATCAATAAAGGTACTTCCTAGGACAAATATGGCTAAGGGATGAAACCATTAAGAAGCCCCCTTTGAGGCCTAGTCTTAACAATATCTTAATTACAAGGAATCATTTACAAGGGGGGCAAGACTTGTCTAGAAATAGACATCAGAAAAGATTTAGAATAGACAAGTAGGGCCCCAAGTGCATCATCCAATTTAATACCATAAGGAAATTGGGGTTACCCATTATCTCTACAAGTCCATTCTTAATGCCATGGAATGGGGTACACTCTGACTTTTAAGGAACAATTTTGTCATCCCAGCCACACGGAATTAGTAAAGGTGATAGTTGAGTTATACAGTTGTTGAGGAATCCAGCCCATTTTCCAGCTGTTTAAATAATCATATGCCCATGGGGTCCTGTTATTATCCCCACAGAATAACAAGCAAGAAGATTGTTGACATATGAGCTATGATGTCAGTTTCTCTGAAGTTTATCTTAAGCTGTCTAGCTTAGGCAAACAACAAACATTCAAAAACCAACTAGAACTTAACATCCACAAAGATGTGTTATTGAGGAGCACCTGGGTGGATATTCGGTTAAGCGTCCGACTTTTGCTTAGGTCACGATCTCGCGGTTCGTGGGTTCGAGCTCCGTGTTGGGCTCTGTGCTGACTGCCAGCTCGGAGCCTGGAGCCTGTTTCAGTCTGTGACTCCCTCTCTCTCTGACTCTCCCCTGCTCACGCTCTCTCTCTCTCTCCTAGAAATAAATTTAAAAAAAAAACAAAACATAAAAAAAAAGATGTGTTATTGAAACATAATTTTTCTCTCTAAAATCACCCTTATTTCCAGAGATAGCCAAATCAAGACTAATTCATTTGAAAAACAAGACCAGTTTTATTTTTTTTAAGTTTTTTAATGTCTATTTATATTTGAGAGAGAGAGAGCACGCGCACAAGTAGGGGAGGGGAGAGAGAGAGAGAGGAAGAATTTGAAGCAGGTTCCAGGCTCTGAGCTGTCAGCACAGAGCCCAACGCGGGGCTCAAACTCATGAACCACAAGATCATGACGAGAGCTGAAGTCTGATGCTTAACCATCTGAGCCACTCAGGTGCCCCCCCAATTTTAACAAATTTAGCTGGATTATTTACATAAATTCAGTAAGAATAGCAATTGACTCTCCAGATCTTTTAAAATCTGCTTTGCCAGTACTTTTCATAATGAATCTAGTTTTAGTAGCTTCTCTAGGCCAGAAGCCAAGCTAAGTACTTGCCATCAGATATGCCTGCAATACCTATAGATTTGGGCAAATTCCTCTTCATGAAGACCTCAGAATATCCTGAGGTTCCTACACCTACCAGGAAGTGACTTTCTTTACTCACCTGGTGAGGCTGCTGGGAACTCTGTTAGCAAGATATCAGACCAACATTTCCAAGGGACTCTATGGCTCCATGTTTCATAAAGTCAGCCTTAGTTCCTTAAAGCTGTCTGGACATCTCTGAGTCTGTGTGAGGAGGTTTTAGAGTGATGGGGGTCAGAGCCAACAGACCTCTTCTTATTCCTGTCCTTATACAAAGTTGTCTGTCTTGGGCATGGGACAGCTACTTAAGTCACTAGCATGGCTGCCAATCTTAAGTCTCCTGTGCAAGGTTTCCTTCTCATTGGTCTAATGTGATCCCTCTCACCTCTCTGGTCTAGCCGCTTCTGGCTGTGAGACCTCTGCTTGGACCCCACCGAAACCAGTACCCAATTGAATTAAAACCCATCTGGGGACTGTTTCCTAGGGAAGTTGGCTATTTAAGACTTAATGTGTTGGAATGTCACTTAGACCATGATGGATTTCTAGCTTTACTGTTTACCGTCAGTGCCCTCTACTAAATACTTAAATTCCCAAATTGGGTAAATTCCCCGTGTAAATCTTTTCTAGTGTTTTCCATGGCTTTAAAAATGGCAGGTTCTTCACAGCATGGCACAACATAGCTTTCATAGCATGGCAGGGTATTTCAGTCCATTCACCAGCACCCACTTGTAGCCTAGAATACAGTAGGGAAGCGGGGGAAGCTAGCATCCCTCCCACAGGGCCTTTATGGCAAGACAGTGATCAACAGGGATTTCATTCGAGGGACATCTCTAGTCGCTTTGACACCTGCCCTACCAGGCATTTTTGAAGTAGAATTTTAATCTTATTCTAGTGTATTTTTAGAATCTATTTATTTCAGGGTCACCTGGGTGGCTTAGTCGATTAATTGACCATCTGACTCTTAATTTTGGCTGAGGTCATAATCCCAGGGTCGGGAGATCAAGCCGAGTGTTGGCCTCCACAACATGGAGCCTTCTTAAGATTCTCTCTCTTTTCCCCCCTTTGCTCCCTCTCCCACTTGCATGCTCGCTTGCGCTCTCTCTCTCTCTAAAAATTAAAATAAAATCCATTCATTTAACCTTAGTCCGTCCTGACCACACATAAAATTCCTTTCCAAAGATTTCCCTTCACAAACCTTCTACAACTTTACTTTGCATTCAGATTTTGTCCCAAGCCATTTCTTTCCAGACAACCAGTCTCATTTTGGACAAAATTACCTTAACTTCAACAAAAATGTACTTTTTCTTATATCTTTCTTACACATCTACTTTCCTACGTACAGAGTTGCTTCCCTTATTTTCATCAGTCTTAATTACATTTAGCAGAATTTTGAACTCTTAGAAACTAGTCTCCAGTGAAAACTCAGGAGTAACAAATTGTGAACTGTTATACTAGAATTCTTTAGATGGTAAATTTATGAATCAATTAAGCACAAAGCATGTTTACTAACAGACTCAAATATCCTTAATTTTTCTGCATGCAGTAAGAAGCCGAAAGCACAAACCTGTGTTCAGTCATCAATGCTTTAGCACTTCTTCCTATTTGGAAAAGATCTAGATGTCCAATGAAAGAGAGGACATCAAGTTTCTGGATCTTATTACCGTTCTGACCATAGTACTAATTTCCAGTCAAAAGACAGGCTTTCTCCTCCCCATAGAGTAACCATAGGCTAGAGGTTTGCAGCCTGAGAAATTGACCTGAAAGTGTTCCAATAAGACCATACTCCGTGAGAAGCCCCTAAAATTAAAGAGAAGAGAAAGTACTCACCAAGTTTGCACCATGGCTCGAAGTCCAGGTGAGAAGACTCAGGCCCCACAGTGGGAACCAAAATGATGTGGGAATGTTGAGGTTCTGAGTGAAAGGTCAAGAAAGAATTGAGACATCTTTGGTGCAGAAAGGTAGTTATACTAAAGCACAGGGACAGGACCCAGGGGCAGAAAGAGCTGCGTTAGGGTCATGAGGAGTGGCTGATTATATACTTTCAAGTTGGGGGAGCATTAGGCATAGCATAACTCTCTAAGGAATCTCTAAGGAAAGATGTCCAATGAACTTAATCCATTTTATCATCCAAACATAACTTTAAAGTTAGCAATTATCCATGAAAACTTAGACATAGAATTAACCATCAATTTTTTGAGAGAAAAAGAGCATGTGCACAAGAGCAGGGGTAGAAAATCCCAAGCAGGTTTCATGCTCAGCACAGAGCCCAAAGCAAGGCTCAATCCCATAACTATGGGATCATGACCTGAGCCAAAATCAAGACTCAGACACTTACTGACCACCCAGGTGCCCCAGCCATCATTTTAAGTCATCTTTTTGCTAACAAATTGCAACAGAGAAAACAGGAGCTTATTCAGCCTTCAGTAATCCTTGGTAGAATAAAAGTTTCAATTAGTTTAAATATTGAATTATGTTCCACTTGGGTTCACTTAAAATTTGTTACCGATTGTCAGCACTTTTGGGGTTTTTTGGTTTGTTTGTTTTGCCTGGGGTACCAGGGGGGATATCTAAAGGGGGCAGTGTTAAGTCTGAGGGGGTGCTCTTCGCTCCCTGACAGCAAAGAGAGGAGGAGGAGCCAATGGTGCCGGAGGCACGGAAGATGGTATAGGAACCAGTTATGTGGGCCACACACCTAAGGCGGTGCAGAAACAGGAGTGGTGGGAGACAGAAGCAAAGTACTACCAGAAGTTAGAGAAAGAGGGGGGCGCCTGGGTGGCTTAGTCGGTTAAGCGTCCGACTTTCGCTTAGGTCATGATCTCGCGGTTCGTGGGTTCGAGCCCCGCGTCGGGCTCTGTGCTGACTGCCAGCTCAGAGCCTGGAGCCTGTTTCAGTCTGTGACTCCCTCTCTCTCTGACCCTCCCCTGCTCATGCTGTCTCTCTCTCTCTCTCTCCTAGAAATAAATAAAAAAGAAAAAAAAAGAAGTTAGAGAAAGAGGGTTCCTGGGTCTAAACTTCATCAGCTCAGCCAGATGAGCAGATACAATATTGATTTTTTTCCACCAAAGTGGAAATATGCAGTCCATGTTGGGCTGGGGAAGACAGGGTACTTTCCCAAAACAAAAGTAGTTTCAGCAGCTGCCTAGGAATATTCCTTAAAGTTCCCATCCCAACATACCTCAGTTGGCTCTAATTTTCACCATTAACCCAGGAAATGAATGAGAAGAAGCCCCCACATCTATTAAGAAGAGGGAACAGTAAGAGAGTTACCAGCCCCTTAGTTAGGAATGGCCTGTGTTTCCTCCAGCAACCTGGGTTTAGGAGAAGGCCTATTTAGAAGATTAGCCAATATATCAGGAGGGAGTTTATTGGCCTGGCTAAGTGGCCAGACACATTCTGCAAGAGGTCTTTAGGCCCGGGTCCTGATTTAGAGCCATGAAGTTCTGGACATAGGTTACCTCCATCCATTTGCCTTATTTCCTGCAGTAGAGATCTAACTGATAGGTCATACTGAGGCCATGCAGCATTACAGGAGATGAGTCCTTGCTTTTTCTTCTTCCAGAGAGAGAGATTGAGAGAGGGAAAGAGAGAGAATCCCAAGCAGGATCCACACTGTCAGTGCAGAGCCTGATGTGGGCTTGAACTCCCAAATTGTGAAATCATCATTTGAGCTGAAACCAAGAGTGGGATGCTTAACCAGCTGAACCACCCAGGCACTGTAGGAGGAGTCCTTTCTTAAATTTTGCAGTTTGAATTGTTTCCAGTGGGTTAAAAGGCATTCCGAGGGAGAGTCCTTGGGAACTGAAGAAGAGAAAAGGTTCATTACTAAAAATCCTCACAATCGCAGTGCAGCTCTTTCTGCCCAGAGGTCCTGTCCCTTTGCTTTGTAAAACCATCTTTTTGCACTGAAAACATCTCAAGAATTCTTTCTTGACCATTTGTTCCCAGACCCCAAATAACATTACAGACACTGGAAAACAGTATTGAAGTTCCTTTAAAAAATTAAAAACAGGGACACTTGGGTGGCTCAGGTCATGATCTCATATTTTCCTAGAGGGGGAGATGGGGGAAATAGGTGATGGGGATTAAAGAGTACACTTACCACGAAAGGGAAAAAAAATTGAAGAAGCATTTTCACATTGACTTGAATGTGTGTGCTTGTGTCATGTGCTTGTGTGATAAAGAACTTGATTGGTCTTTGTCCTTGGTTCCTGGGAGGTAACCCCTCAATCCTTGGAATTTCCTGATGCGTGTCTTTGTTATTCATAGTGGGTCTTGAGACCACCTCTGATAGTTTATGCTAATGAGGTGACCCGGTTACTCCTAGTTTATGCTAATTAGATGATTCAGGATGAGGGCTGACCTAGTCAGAAAGATCAACCTTGTGGTTAGAGGATTAGGACTTTGAGCCTTGTGGTAACAGCCTGACCTCAGAGGGAAGGGGCACTGGAGATTGAAATCAACTAACTGTGTGGTCACCCAACCATGACAACCTAATGAAAGCCCAGTGAAAACTTCGGACAGTGAACGTCAGGTGAGCTTCCCTGGCTGGCAGTACCCTGCATAGTTACACATCCATAAGCCAGCAGGTAATGTGCTCTTGGGGAGGATGAAAGCCTCACATTCGAGATGCTCCTGGACCTCAATCAATGTGCCTCTTCCTTGGACTGATTTTGACTTGTTTCTTTTTGCTATAATAAAGTTATAATATAGCCCTTTCCAGAGTCCTGAGATTTGCTCTAGAGAATTATGAAACCTAAAGAAGTAGTGGAAACTCCCAAATTTGTAGCCAGCTGGTCAGAAGAGTAGCCTAGAGGGGTGCCTAGGTGGCTCAGTGAGTTAAGTGTCCAACTTCAGCTCAGGTCATGATCTCACAGTCTGAATTTGAGCCCTCCATTGGGCTTTCTGCTGACAGCTCAGAGCCTGGAGCCTGCTTCAGATTGTGTCTCCCCTTCTCTCTGCCCCTCCCCCACTCGTATTCTCTCTTGCTCTCAAAAATAAATACAACATAAAAAATTTAGGGGCACCTGGGTGGCTCAGTCAGTTAAGCATCCGACTTCAGCTCAAGTCATGATCTCACGGTTCATGGGTTCGAGCCCTGCATCAGGCTCTATGCTGACAGCTAGCTCAGAGCCTGGAGCCTGCTTTAGATTCTGTGTCTCCCTCTCTCTCTGACCCTCCACTGCTCACACTGACTGTCTCTCTCTTTCTCTCTCTCTCAGAAATAAATAAAACATTAAAAAAAAAAGGGGGACAGTAGCCTAGGGACCCCCAAACTTATGGCTGAAGTGAGAACAGTCTTGTGGAGTACTGTATGTTTAATCTGTGAAGTCTGGCCTAAATCCGGGTAGTTGGTGTGTTAAGTCATTGTAGTGCTACAAAATAAAATAGCAATGAGTTTTTATGTACATACATACCAACCCACCTCCAAAAGATGGAACAATGCCATTCTATACTTGAATTTGAAAAATAATTACAGGAAGCAACATTGTATTTTTCTAAGAAAATATTTAATTGGTAGTTTTCTAGAAGGAGTTTTTCATCTAGTACAAAAGTGAAGTCAGGGGCATCCGGCTGACTCAGTCAGGAGAGCATGCAACTCTTAATCTCAGGATCATGAGTTCAAGCCCCACATTGGGTGTAGAGATCATTTAAGATAAACAAAAATTTTAATGTCATATATCTGAACAGTAAAATATTTTTTTAAAGTCCAAAGCAGCGAGAGAACGTGGGTAATACAAGTTTTTCAAATTAACACATGGTTAGTAAGCACCTACCGTCTGCTCATCCCTGAGAGGAAGTATGAGAAATTACCTGAAGCAACTGATAGATAATCTGGTTCAGGAGACAAGAAAGTGGCAAACTGATAAACAACAAGTGATTTAAATAGATGAAAACAGTAATAAGAACTATCCTAAGACAAGACACCTTTCATTTTTTAAAACCTTAACCAAACACAGATGCTTTTACAATTGCAAATCAGTAAGCTAGGACTTCACATCCATGTTCAAGAGAATTCTCCCCTGAGGAGGGTGGTGTTTGAACAGGGTTATGACTGATTATTAGGCTTTGGATAAGTGAAGAGGGCATTCCAGCCTGGGGGAACAGGCAGGGGAGTGTGGAGGCAGGTCGGAGGTGTGGCAAGCAAACTAGGTTGTCTGTACTAGCCGTTCTGTCAGGAGCAGCAGGAGGTTAAGGCAGAGTGACAAGGGCATTTACTGCCAAATTAGTCTGGCACTAAATGCCCTCTTCGCAAGGTTTTCAGATGGGGCAGTGGGTGCATGCGGATAATGGTTAACATGGCAAAGATACACAAGAAGGACAGACGTTAAGCAAAGACCACCTGTAAAGTCACAGGTGTCCAGATATATAAAGTGACTTAGGTTGGGGTTAGAGAAGGGCATTAGAAGAAAACATAGAGCAAACTAAGCTATCACTAATGTAATAAATTTGCTCTTTCTCTCCTGTGCAACTTGGCTCTTTGGGAAGAAATTTCCATGATTTCTAGGTTCCTAAACTAGCATTCTGATCTCAGCAGTCCAGACACCTCCTGTTTAATCCTGTCTGCCTGCACCCCTCTGTCTTAGCCGACCTGCTGGACCCCTAGATCCTACGTGTCTGCATGGACCCACTTTGAACTGATTCCCTGATGTCTGGGCTCAGCTTCTTCATCTGAACTTAAAATGGGTGAAGGACTGTCTTTAGTATAAGCTAATCTTTTAGTCAAGACTATTGTGGGCTATGCCAGCTCCTGCTCCTGGTTTCTCCATATAAATTTCAGAGGTAACGTGATATGAACTTGAGACCCAATACGCTTCGGGGTAACTATTACAGAAAATCAGGACACAGGGATGGCTTGAAGTAAGAGACAAGATAGGAAAAGTAGTTCAGCAACAGTTGGTATATTTGTATATTTGATTTTTTTTAAAAAACAAGTTTATTGATGTGTAATTTACATACCATAAATTTCACCCATTTTCTGTGCACAATTCAATGATTTTTAGTAAATTTACCAAATTGTTCAACCATCACCATAGTCCAGTTTTAGGACACTTGCATCACTCCAGTAAGATTCCTTGTAACATGTGCATTCACTTCCAGTTACCTCTCCCAGCACCAGGAAATCACTAATCTGCTTTGCCTCTGAAGATTTGCCATTTCTGGACATTTACTATAAAAGGAACTATACAACACATGGGTTTTGGCACCTGGCTACTCTCCCTTGGAATAATGTTTTTCAAGTTTTGATTTTTTTTTTTATACAATACCCATATTTTAATGATTTTAATGTTTAAAATTTTTTTATTTAATTTTGAAAATTCCAAATCTAGTAGCATAATGATCTAACAAAAATTGCTTTTTGCTCAAACTTTAAAAATGCCACTCCACTGCCTCTTGGAGAAAGGTAACATGTAGTGAGTGCATGGTGGGGGGGGGGGGGTCGTTGTACAGGAAGACCTTCCGTCTCTCAATCTCAAAAACCACAGCTGTGACCCAGAAGGAAAGAGGCCCAGCCCAGGGCATGGCACTTCCAGAAGCTCAGTTTCCTTAGCTCTAAAATATGGTGGGGCTAAATCACTGGTGGCTCTCCACCTTGCTCAGCCTCCATTCTCCCCGCCCACACAGTCACACCCCCTCCCGCATCAGCGAGGGAATGGGGAGGCAAAGCACACTGCAGTTATAAAGAGCCCCTACCAGGTAGGAAATCCCTAGACTAGGTGATTTCTCAGATTCCTTTCGGCGCTTGTTTGTGAATCTCAAGCCTGAAAGGAACTTTCCCCACGTCCATTAACTTCCCAGGTTTCTCTATGGAGTGAAGCTTTAATGTATGTTGAGGCCTGAACTAGTGGGTTTTCCTAGTTTCACCACATTCTCTGATGTACAAAATGAGTGGAAAATCTGTCAAAGGTTCTTCCAAGTCCATTATATTCCCAGGGTTTCTAACTAGTAGGGTGAGTTCACTGATGTTTATAAAGGAAAGAGGTTTGGCTAAAGGCACTCCCACATTCACCATTTCCATAGTGTTTTTCTCAAGAATGAAATCTCTGATTCTCTTTAAGAAATGAGCTCTGATAGGCCTTTCCACATTTACTGCTTTCATGGGGCTTCCCTTTTATATGTGTTCTTGGTGCTTAGTAAAGGAAGAAGTATTACAGATGGCTTTTACCACACTTGTAGTTGCTCTCCAGTATGAGTTATCTGATAATCATTTACTTACTGGTTGATTGATTGGTTGAACAATATGTGACAGAAAGCTGTGCCATATTCATTGCATTGATAAGGTTTCTTGCCAGTAGAAACTGTCTGATATTGAATAATGTGTATCCTCTGACATAAACTTTTCCGAATCCATTACACGTACTTGGTTTCTCACTAGTATGGATTCTCTGCTGTTTGATAAGGGGCAAGGTGTGACTCAAAGCCCGCCTTCTCTCTTGACATTGATGGAGCTTCTCTTTAGCATGTCTGATGTTAAATAAGATGTCTTCCAACCAAGTCTTCGCACATACGTTAAACTTATAGGAGCTCTCTCCGATGTGTGTAATGTGAGCCATGTGTGAACTCCAGCTCAAAGCCTTCCTGTGTTCCCTGAATTCATACAGCTTTTTTTCCAGCATGACTTTTCTGATGTTTAATAAGGGATGCAGTATGAGCAAAGGCTCTCCCACATTCATTACATTTGTAGGGTTTCTCTCCAGTATGAAATCTATAATGTAGAACAAGAGATGAACTCTGGCTGAAGGCTCTCCCACACTCGCTACATTCATAGGGCTTTTCTCCAGTATGAGTCCTCTGATGTTTAATAAGGGATGAAATATGACCAAAGGCTCTCCCACATTCACTGCATTCATAGGGCTTTTCTCCAGTGTGACATCTCTGATGGCGCCTAAGTTCTGACTGGAAATGGAAAGACTTCCCACATTCATTACATTTACAAGGTTTCTTCCCTGGATGGCTTCTCTGGGAGTTATTTCTTCCTGAAGTCTGTCTGAATTCTGTGTCAGATTTATAGGATGCTTCTCCTATGGGAACATTGTGTTGGTCAAGAAGGACAGATCTTAAGTCTAAACTTCTCCCAAATTCACTCCATTCGTGATCTATCCTAAGGGTGGTAGTAGATTTGTGAGTGATTGATATTTCTTTCAGATGTCTCTCCTGGTTTTTTGGAGGTAGCTCTAACTGGTTATCACAACCACAGGTTCCTTTCACTTTGCAGAAGCAGAGTTCATCTCTGATATGTTTTTCTACTGATGCTATCTGGAATAATTCCTCTTTGGAAATTTCCTGATATTGTACTGATTCCTTGGCTTTAGGCCTTTTCTCCCAGTCTGGATGGGGGAAAAAAAAGACATTCTTTTATTAACTGTTCCATGGGCCAAGAGGAAGTAAAGCCCTATAATGGATATAAGATAATGAAGCTTTAAAATAATATCTGAGGCCGACAGCCTGTCCTTTGCTGTCCTGCCCACTGTTTCCTTGCAGTGTATTCAATAAATTTCTATCTCCTTTGTTCTGCCTCAGGTGAATTCTTTCACCTCAAAATACCAACAACAACAATACCTGAGATGTGTACAGTTTCTTTCAAGAATGGTGTATGTCTGAGGTTTTGGAGTTATCAAGAATAAGTGATAAGCAGGTAAATGGAGATTAGGAAAAATCTGAAAAAATAGTGTTTGGATTACAGTATACAAGGTAGTCCAAAGATTGTAAAGATGAGAAGAGGGTAGGAAGATGCCCTCGCAAGGTCCCCTTAGTACCTCAGTATTATATTACTGTACATAATTGTGATAGGCAGAATAATTCTCCCTTGAAGACATCCATGCCCTAATCCCAAGAACTTGTAAATATGCGCCTTACACAGCACAAGTAAAAAAAAAAAAAAATGCCTTACATAGCAAAAGGCACTTTGCAGATGTGATTAAGGGCCCAGACCTTTAGATGGGGAGATTATCCTGAATTATTCAGATGGGCCCAATCTAATCACCTACATCCTTGAAATGAGAGAACATCTCCTGGCTGGGTCGGTCAGAGAGATGTGGTGAGAGGGACTCAGCCCACCATTTCTGGCTTTGAAGGTGGAGAAAGGGGACCAAGAGCCAAGGAATGTAGCAGCCTTTAGAAGCTGTAAACATTCCTCAGTTTACAGCCAGCAAGAAAACAAGGACTTCAGTTTCACAACTGCAAGAAGCTGGTTATGCCAACAACTCAAATAACAGAAACAGATTCTACCCTAGCCACTCCAGAAAGGAACACCTCTGCTGACATCTTGTGTAAAACCCATGCCAGACTTCTGACCTGTGAACTAGTAATTAATAAACTTGTGTTGTTTAAAGTCTCTAAGTTTGTGGTAATTTGTTTCAGCAACAATAGGAAACTAGTAAAATAATAATAAAGTGTCTGAAGAGGTAAATGACTAGTGATGCTAGTGCTCCCAGAGGCGAGATTCTGACTCAGTGGGTCTGTGTGACCTCTGGAAATCTGGATGTTTAAACAAACTCCCTGAGAGATTCTGAAACAGAGCCATATTTGTAGAGCACTGTAAACCGACAGATATTTATTCTGAGACTAGATCCAGATGTCAGACCCTTGCTCTCATTTGGAAAAGAACAAGAAAGGGGCTCCTTGGGTGGCTCAGTAGGGTAAGTATACAACTCTTGATTTTGGCTCAGGTTGTGATCTCATGGTTCATGAGATCAAGCCCCACATCGGGCTCTGTGCTATGACAGCAGGGAACCTTCTTGGGATTCTCTCTCCCCTCTCTCTCTCTGTCTCTGCCCCTCCCCAACTTGCACACATGCATGCATCCATACTCGCTCGCTTGCTCTCTCTCTCAAAATAAATAAACTTTTAAAAAAAAGATGAAGAAAAGACTAATATAGCAGAGATCAGCAACTTCCCCCTCTGTCCTCTATTCTAGGCTCCTCTGAGCCCCAGCCTGTGCTCTTGGGATTTGAGCACTTCTTTCCTGAGCTTTAACTCTGACCCAGGGCTATGATTCTGCCTCAGAGATGGACACTGGCAGACTGTCACCTTCCTCCAGAGTGCTTGGGCTACACAGGCAAGGAGAAGAGCTCTGAGTCCAGAATTCTGCTCCAAGAGGTGAGGCCTGTCAGGTACTCTTAAATCACCTAGGAATACATGGTCTCAAAGACGTGACATCAACAGATGGCAAGGAGTAGTCTTTGTTTCTGGAACCACCTCTGTTGAAGCTTAGTTTAATCAAGCTTGAAGTGTCTTCACCTTGATCTTCTTGACATCATCCATCTGCCCTTGCCTGTAACCCCTTAATTTCTAGGCCACTCAAATGTTCTGTCTGATCTCTTAGTAACTCTCTTAACCCTGCTGATATAAGATAGTCTGGCCATTACAACTGCTGACCCTTAGAGTCCATCCAACAGTTATCATGTGACGTCTAGTGATGCCAAGTAGCACTAAGAATTCAGAAGGGGCAGGCAGAGATGGGTACCAAAGGAAGCTTAAAAGCTAGAGAAGAAAATGAACATCTCTTTTTCTGACACCAGAGATCATTACAAAAGCCCAGTAGTATTCAAAATACTGATGGGGCGCCTGGGTGGCTCAGTCAGTTAACTGTCCAACTTCAGCTCAGGTCATGATCTCATAGCTCATGAATTCAAGCCCCACGTTGGGCTCTGTGCTGACAGCTCAGAGCCTGGAGCCTCAGATTCTGTGTCTCCGTCTCTCTCTGCCCCTCCCCTTTTGCACTCTGTCTCTCTCTCTCTCTCAAATAAACATTAAAAATTTTTTTCAAAATGCTATAGTGGGTGCAGGGTTTCTGACAAGTAGCCTCCTCCTCTCAGAGGATAGCCCCCTAACCAAGGTTTCAGGGCAATTTCCTACCTAGGGCTGGCCCTTATGTGTGATGCTACTTAGGTCTCACTAACTCACCTGTTGAGATTACTCCCTCTACCACACAGGGCTCTTCCCCTTCCTCCAACTGGCAGATCACATATGGTTTAGATACTGGAAGCCCTGATGGTAGAGAAAGAAAAGGATCATGATTGCGTATGTTGGAGGCCGAGGCTTTAGCCCTAGGTCTTTCTGGAGGAGAAATACTGTAGGTGTGGAGAGCCTACAAAGAATAGGCATAGTAAAATATCAGGAGCAGAATCGTGAAATTTCTTATTACAGTTTCATAGGGAGTAAGACTTTTCCTAGGAATGAAGAATGAGGACCCCAAAGAAAATGTAAATGTCTGATTCCAGAACCCCAGGGCAAAACTCAGCCAACAGGCCTAGAAACCCTAAGCTTTTAAACAACAATGAAATAAAGATGGCAGGCCTGACAAGCAGGCTTTAGGCTTTGGAGGAGCTGAGCTCACCCAGAGAGGCCAAGTTCTTGAAGTTCTCCAGCATCACTTCCCTGTACAGGTCCTTCTGAGCAGGATCCAGCTGCCCCCATTCCCACTGGGTGAATTCCACAGCCACATCCTTGAATGTCATCAGATTCTGAAACACAGAAGACACTCCTGTAACCTTAGGGAGCATACTCTCAGCCCCAGGGAGAAGAATGGATGGGTGTCTGAGTAGAGCCTTAGGATGCAGAAGGGATTCCAAGAGTTCCTAGCTATCCCAATGCCCAGTGTGGGGTTTTGTCATGTCAAAAATATGTCAAGCTGCTTCAGGAAATGTATCTTCCTTACTACCTGGAAGTACTAAGTGCCTACTTTGTCAATACTTTTGTCACACTGCTTAGATATAATCAGGGTCCCAAGAGAATCAGCTCTACAGAGACATTCTGCTTAGGAAGGGAGACAAATGTAATCCATTTCCTTCATTTTCTATAGATTTTACTCTCAATTTAGTTGCCACTTAATTAGAATCAACTAGAAGTAACAGGCTATATGCTTTGCATTCTCAAATGCACTAGTATCAACAGTCTTCTAACTATTTTTGAAACTTGTGACTTAAGATTTTAATGACAATTTTTACTAAGTCCAAATCAAATAATTTGGGATTTATAATAACTTATGCCCACCCCAGGCCAGCACACAGTTCAGCGATAGTGTACCAAGTAGCCTTATAATGAATCATTAAGTCTTTAATGAGTTTGATTACCACTCTCCCCCAAAGCCTAATCACTTTTCAATTCCTACTCATTCAATTCCTGAATGTGCAAAATTGACAGTGAGATCCTGGATCCCAGGTCCCCAACAAGGGACAGTCTGTGGGTCCCAACCAGAAGCATCCTGTCACCCTCTATAACAGCAATTAGATCACCTCCCATATGACTTACAATTATTATTATTACTTATTATTATGTACAATAATCCATTTACCATGAACTAAAATGCAGATAAATGCAGTATAAACTCTTGCTACTTTTCCCAAAATATGTTTAGAAGTCAAATCCCATTTAGATATTGATTCCATAGAATAAGTCAAAGTAAAAATTTTACATTAACATAAAAGTCAGTCCAAAATAATCAGATATGGAAAACTCACCTCTAATAATCCCTTGTGATAGATTATATTAGTTGTTCAAAATATTCACTAGCTCTCCCTACAGGATTGAATTTCCTGTCCCATTGACCTAGGTGGAGTCCAATAATCTGCTTTCACAAATAGAATGTGAAACATGTAATGCAGGCAAAAAACAAACCTTTGATGGTAGAAGTCTTTGAGGTTCTGCTGTTCTTATTATAGCCTAACTAGCCTAAACTGACTCATAAAAAAAAAACTAGTACTTAAGATAGGGTTCTGCCATCACAAAAAGCCTAAAATATGTGACTGTGGCTCAGGGCCAGGAAGTAAAGAAACATTGATGCTTTGGCAACCCATGTAAGTTGGTGGTGAACTGTCTGCAGTAACTAGAAAGATGAACAATGTAAAAATGAATTTGTGGTGTTATGAGAAGAGCCTGGAATGACAAAATATCTTTGAAAAGATATTTTCAAATGAGAAAAAGAAATGAGCTCAAGAGTTGGCCAGTTTGTAAAATAAAAATGAAAGGCCAAAGAAAGTATCCAGACATTCTAGACTTACAGAGCTGGAGATTTAACTAATTCTTGTTCCTGGCTGGTCAAAGACAATATAGATAAGGCTTTTGCATGACAAAGGAATGATTAACACTCAACCTAATAGAAGGACCAAAACTCAAGTGTGGTGGTCAAACCTTTTATTTAAATCTCCGCATAATTTCAGTTGGCTCCCAGTAAATCCTTTCAGGGCAGCTGAAGTGCTTAGTGACTCAAAGAATGGCTTTCTCAAGAAAACCCCAAAAGTTCCACAAAAAAAGAACTGTGGGTAAAATTCCTGACACATGGAAGTGACAGAAAACAAATACAAAAAAAGCTATTACATTTTCAAGAGTTACACTGAATGTTCATGACTTGAAAAAATCCTTGGGCCATCAACTTACTCAGGTAGGATGAAAAAGTCGCTTAGCCCTCAACCGAGTTTATTCTCCAATATCATTTCATATATGACCAAGGAGGATACTGCAAAAGGAACCTGGGGGCAGAGTCAAGTGCTAAGGAGAACACTGGCCTGACGAGCTCCACCCAGGTAAGCAGAACCAGGGCGAAACCAAAATACTTCCAGCCCCAAGGCCAGTGTTTCTCACTGAGTCTGTCCAGTGGAATTTCAGAGCTGCTGCAGACCTGAGACTGCTGGGCTCCTCCCAGGATTCCCCTTTCTGACTCTTAATTGTGGTTATCCTCTCTGCATTATTCCATTGTATGTTGGATATATGGATTCAGGCAATGTGTCCTTTTACATAGGTTCAAAGGTCTCCAGATCTGGAGGAGGAACATCCAGACCTGATGTTGAGGCCATCACACCATCCAGGACTTTGATCTTGATGCTCCTACTAGATAACTAAATAGAGGTTTTGGGTTATCTCTCTTAGGGCAAGATTGTGTGTGGAGGAAGGAGTGAATATTTATGAGTAAGAAAACAGACAGTGGCAGATTAATTATTTGTTCAAAATATTCACTGCCCTTCCCCTGGCGCCCCTCACTATGGAAGGCTTATTAATACTTCCAACCTCACTGATATTAGGCTTGGCGACATGGCTTGCTTCAGCCAATGAGTTGTAGGCAGAAACCAGAAGAACCAATTCCCTGGTTCTGACACTGCACGTTTCCCTGCCCTGTTATCCTAGGATAACAACATAGCCTAGAGCAGAGTTGATCTTTCCACATGAATCTCACAGCAAAGAGAGTGTAGAGCAGTCAGACCTGGCCTACTAGTCATATATAACATAAAGAATTGCACCTTTGTTACTATGAGCCATTGAGATCTACAGGCCATTGTTGCTACAACTACCTAGATTAAGCTCTGATATACCTCTAAATGGTGTACATTAAGGCCAAAGAGGTTTAAACTCTATTTATTATTCTACTAGTTATCTGTGAAAATCCTCTACTGGTGGGGGTTTCCCCCACCAGCTAGAAAATTAAATACAAATGTCCATCATTAAGCTACAATACACAAACTACCATCTTAGATGCTAGGAAACGATGCAGCCTGGCATCCACAGCCTTCCACTTGATTCTCTCTCCACATCCGGCTATTACAGCCAAACCTGAACCCAATTCTAGAGTCAGTCACCATTACTCTGTTTACCCCTGTCACAACTGAAGCTGACTAGAAAGTACCATTTGCCAGAAGACTCCAGCAATGATAGGAGGTAGTTGCATTATTGAGTGGTGAAGATCTTAGAGCCAGGCAACCTGGATCTGAAACGACGATGTCTTCCTTACACACTAGACAACCATGAACAAGTTACTTTATCTCTCTTGCTTTTCTCAGTTACCTGTCTGTGCCTCCGTTGCCATTCTTCAAAATAAGAATGTTTGAAAGATGAAATGAGTGAGTGTAAGTAAATTGTATAGAACAGTTCCTGATACATATTTGGTTCTCAGCACATAACGGCTATTACTATTTTCACCAGTATCATTGACAGGATTACCATCCTCATTTCACAGCTGGCAAACCCAATGCATAGAGAAGTTAGGTGAGTGTTCCAGCCAGGAGGTAAGTTAAGTCTGTCTTCTCACTATTCCAGGAAGATAACATCTGAACATAGCCTCGAACGGCCTCCCCACCTGTCCATACCTTCAGAACGTCCTTGTCCCCTTTTCTCCACGAGCCCTCCCCACCCTCGCCAGCACAGGCTGATTCTCCTTTTACTAAACCTTGATGGAAAGGCCTCTCTGTGCCACCTCCATCTGTCCTCAGACCATGCACAACCCTACTGTGACTGGGGCTGCAGCCTGGGCACCAGAGCCCTCCCCCTTCTGTGGTAGTGACACCCCTTCAAGACCAGGGCTCTCTCACATCACTTGGTCTCACTGCAGTGCTCATGACAGAAATAAACCAAAGGATCTGTGTGAGTACATACTGAACAGTGAGGAGAGGGCCCTAGAAAGGAACAGGGAGGCCAGCATCCACCTTGATGGGTTCAGCCACCTGCAGAGCAGGAACTGGGGTCAGTTCCCTTCGGCAAACAAAGAGGCTCCAGAGAAAAGGAGGCAAATACATCACAGTTCAATCATTTGAGGAATAATGAAGAGAACCCCAACTCACCTGGGGCCTGGCTTTCAGGAATAAACTGGCTGTTCCCTTTTCTCCTGGGTATCTCTCTGGAGAAAGAGCAGGGTCCTGAGAAGGGAGAACTAGGAAGGTAAAAGGAGCCATAAGGAAGGCTAACCCTCTGCAGCTCCCAGGCTCCCCAAACTGGAGATCCCTGAAGAATCACTGTGTCACCTCTGGTTCTAGGGACAGAGCTGGGTCAAAGGGAGCTGAGGGGCAGCCTCCAGCTACCCTATAGGAGACAGAATTGCACAAGCCCTCACCCGTCTCTCTTGTCCAAAGGCCACAGCAGGCTTCAGGTAACTTAAGTCTCACCAAATTCCAGCCACTGCACTAGAGAGTTCCTTCCTGGGCATCTAATATATAGGTCCTCTACTAGGTCTTTTAAAAATATAAACATGGAGAAGACTTTCAAGGAACTTTATAGCCTATGGAATAAGGTTAAGAATACAAAACAAGGTCCAGGGCAAGGCCTAGAGGGATATACACTTTAAGGGAAAGAAGTTACACCTTTCCCCTCATCCTTGGGAACCCAGCGCAAAGGTCAGTTCTTCCTGAGAAGTTCCCAAGCATAGGTTTCTGCAAGCATACTTTTCAAATCCCACTATAACAGGGTTTTATGTCATACTATTTTTAAAGCCTGAAAACAACAAAAAACTAGCCACAACCATGCCAGCGAAGTGATCATAGCTAACAACAACAAAAGCATGGAAGTGGCAGGCAGCATAGTATAGCATAGTTCAGCACACTTCAAACTTTAATATGTGTAGGGACTCCGAAGGATCTTGTTAAACTGACTCTGATTCCGTGGATGTGGGGTAGAGCCTGACAGTCTGCATTTCTAAAGAGTTTCAGATGATTCCTGTGCTATAGACTACACAACACAAAGCATAAAGGAATACAGAGGGGGTAGTAGTCCCAGAGATTTGGCCCAGTTCTGCCATTGGCCAATAGTGTGACCTTGAACATGTGCATTGAAGAATAAAAAGTTAAAATGCCCTCTTAGTTAAGGACAGGAGATCCTAAATAGAGAAAGAAATGGCTTAAAAACTCATGGGTCACCTGGACTGCCTTGTCCCCAACACTAGTGAAGAGGTGACCACAGGAAGTATCGCCCATGTACACTGCTAATCTTATACACAGTTGAGCTAGAAAGGCTGGAGGAATCTTCTTACTTAAGCGATAAAGGAATGGTGGCAAGGCTCTAAACGGCCCCACTGCCCTCTGATCCCTGGCCAAGGCCACTCCTTCACAGGTTGTTTATGGTTTACCCTCTCCCTCCCACACAGAAGAGCCCTCCCCGCTCTCCTCTGGCTTTTGGGAAGTCTTCCGCGGCCATTCCCTCCACCTCTACCACGATGTCTGGATACTGAGGCTTCACACTCCTGGGCCTGGAGAATTAGGAAATGCCACAGGGAAGGCGGCTACAGGTTCTGCCCCTTGCGTGGCTTGCTCGGCCTCTTCCTAGGGCCGTCCTCCTCCTTGGCCCACTACTAACTCCCCAGAAGGGCTTCTGGCCCTCTCCACCGTCGAGAGCCAAACCTGATGCTGTGCAGTCCATAGCTGGGGCTACGCGACGACGTCCTTTCACTAGGTCCAAATGTCTGTCCTGCAGCTGCAGCCCTGCGGTCCTCCCTTACGGCTCAGGGAGCAGGGAGCGAGCTAGGTGACATCCGGCATTCCCACTCCGCGCAGTGACGCCCAGGCGACCCGCAAGGCCCAGAGCAGGGCAGTCAAACCCAGACTCCTGTCCGGGAGTGTAGCGCTGCCGCCCGGGGTTCAGGCGCGCTCTCAGACCCCTCACGAGCCGGGCCTTGGGCCACTGGCTTCGCTCCGCCGCCTTGCTCCTCGGGACCAGACTCTGGAACCCAGTTCCACCGCAGACCCACGCCCGCCGGGACGACCACACCACCAGGAGACACCGCGCCTCCGCGGCCCTGAGCGAGCAGGGATTCGAAGAGCCTCACGGGGATACGGGACTGGCCCTGCAACTCGGTCTCCTAGCTCCAGGCCCCCACAGCCCCTCGCAGAGGGGCAGGCGGAGGAACACCCCCAACTCTGTCACGGGCTGGGGGGACAGTGCTCGGCACAGGTCAGCGCCCCCGATGTCTCCGAACCCACAAAGAGCAAACCCCACCCCTTCCCCGGCCCCTCCTCCAAGATCAGTCCCGAGCCTGCGCAGACGGGCCGCCGCGCCGGGATCAATCAATCCTGCGTCGGGGGCGGGTCCGCGGGGCGGGAAGGGCGGCGCCTGCGCCCTGGAGGTCGGAGCGAACTTGGGCTGGGGTTACTGGAGTCTCGTGGGAGCTTCTCTGTGCGTCACTGACGTGAATGGAGGGTATCCCCGAGTTCCCACGGTAGGCTGAGACCTGGGAGCTCAGTCCCTTAAGCCTCAGACTTCAGCTCAGGTCAAGATCTCCCTGTTTGAGAGTTGGAGCCCCACCTCCTGCTCTGGGCTCTCAGTGCGGAGCAGACCTCTCTCTTCCCCTCCCCTGCTCTCTATATGTCTTTACAAAAAAATAATTTTTTTTAAAACACCAAAAGAAAAATCTTATGAGAAAATGTATTTTTAAAAAAATAATAAAACGATGGCTCTCAAGAGGCAGACCTCAGCCATAGAGGGGACTTGTGAAAACTGAGAGTGGGTTTATAGACCCTATCTAGGGTTTCAGGGACAACCTATTAAATCAGGGTAAAACCCGCCATTTTCCCATCTTGCTTTTTCAATCGCGGTGTCACTTTTTGCTAACCCTTGGGGCAGCACCCATGGCCAGGATAGCACAGTAAGTGCCCAACAAGCAAGCCCTCTTCCTCCTAGAAGAGGAGGAACCGTGGCTGGCCCAGGAGCTTCTGTTCTCTTCTGTGCTCTGGAACCAAAAAAGGTGAAGGGATGGACAAATTAGAAAAAAATATCTCATTGGTAGCTATGCACAACTACATAGATGCAACTGCTTCAGATTAACTTGAGGGATGCTGCTTGTCCCTGATGTGCCTTTTGGCATTGGCCTGCTACAGTGTCTGAAATTTCAGTCCTCTTAAATTTGTGACAGAGCTTGATCCAGAGACCTACATTACAATGCACATTTGTTACTCAGGAGAGTTAACAGTTTAACAAGGATGTCCCCTCTTCCAGAGTGCTCTGGTGTGCCACTTGATGTCACATAATGTTAGGGTAGCTCTGTTTCCTAGAAACCTGGTAAGTTTGTGCATCACCCCTAACATTGCCTTTTACTGCCTCTTTGTAATTAAACATTTCTCCCATTCCAGCCCATTGTGACCACTGCTCTAGTTTTGCCTTTTCCAGAGTGTCACCTAAACAGGATTACAAAGTATGTAACCTTTTAAGAGTGGCTTCTATCACTCAGCATTAAGCCCTTGAGATCCATCTGTGTTGTCATGGAGACCAGTAATTCATTCCTTTGTTCTCTTGGGTCCAGCTGTCCGATAAGGAAAGCTGTCTTAAGGAGCTACACAGCACATTCATCTACATCCTATTTGCCAGGATGCTTGACCACACCTAGCTGTGAGAAATGTATTCTTTAAACCTGTGCCTGGCTAAAATTCTATTACAATGGAAGATGGAGAGAAAAAATAATGGGTAACATCAGATTTTAGGAACAATATCGATAAACTGTAGTTTACCAGAGGGAGAGCAGATAGCAAGAGCATCCCTAAATCAAATTAGCCTGAAGGAAGTGGCTTAACCTATTTTAAGATCTGATTATAAAAAACAAAAATGTGAAAGGGGCTTTTGTAAGGCAGAACTGAAGCACAGAATTTTTTTAAAAAGATTTTATTTTTTTTAATTGTTTATTTTTGAGAGAGGGAGGGTTCGAGTGGGGGAGGGACAATGAGAGGGAGACAGAGAGCACAGAGCCCAATGTGGGGCTCTAACTCATGAACCATGATCTCATGACCTGAGCTGAAACCACGAGTTGGATGCTTAACCAACTGAGCCAGCCAGGTGCCCCAAAGCACAGAATTTTCTACAGGTCCTTCTTGTGGTCAGACATCCATCATCACACAACCTCCAACTTTCCTGGATTGGGAGCCCAAGGTAAAAACAGAAACATGTTCACAATTAGGGCTTGGGTATTTACAGCCATTGAGGGTGGACTAAAGATGCCCCGATGGTGGCCATTTTGAGAAAAGGTATTACAAAAACAAAAACATAGAAGTAAAAAGCTATTCCAATCGGGCATCAGAGCTGGGTATTAGAAGTAGCAGTGTTTTTTTCAGGTACAGTGTGAAATTGTGCCTGAATATTTCTCTTTCACCCCATCACCCAGCTTCTGTTGATATACATGCACTCCAGGAAAGAAAGTTGGTAGAAGAAAACAATATTACCACTAAGTAGTCAAACCTCTTTGCTAGGCAACCAACCATTCCTTCCCCCATAGACTGAGTGATAAAACTGAAAATACCACTAAGGACCTATGCTATTCCTCTAAGGTAACACCTCTAAAAAGGCCCCATGATATTAAGAGATGGTGCTTTCTTCTGTGAGAGGTAGTTTAATTAATAGATAGATATTGGAAGATGTAGATCTGGACACAGAGTACTAGGTAGCAGCAGCTAAGAAAAGATCCTCAGAAAAATAAAGCCACAGAGTGTCCAAGAAGAGGGGTGTTGGAACTGCAAGAAGTGACCTAGGAAGAGCAAAGATTGCTGGTAGAAGCAACTTCAGGAGGCAACACAAACAAGCAGAACTGCAAGGGAGAGCAAAAGTGTTGGTTGAAATAGGGACACTACAGAGCTACTAGCCAGAGTCCCTAATTATGAGTTGAACCATGTCTTCATTCTACATTCCAACCACACCCCTACTTCTCATAGAGAAACACCCATAAAGGGAGGAAGAGTGTGAATCCCAAGCAGTCTCCATGCTGTCAGTGTGGGCTCTGTGAGCCCCGTGAGCCCCAGCGTGAACCAATGCAGGGCTCAATCCCACAAACTATGAGATCGTGACCTGAGCCAAAATCAACAGTTGGACACTTAGCAAGTGAGCCACCCAGGCACCCCAGCAGGTTTGTTTTTAATGGCCACAGATTCTTTCATATACCTCCCTTTGAGAAGTGGTGCCTCCTCTTGACTCTGGGCAAGCTTATAATGGCTTCAACCAATAGTGTACATAGAAATGACACTATTGATTTTCAAAGGTAGGTCATAAAAGGCCATGCAGCTTCTATTTTGCTCACTGGGACACTCTCTTGGAGCCCTGAGCTGCCATATACCCTGCCTGATTACCCTGAAACCACCTACTGTGAAGTAGTCCAAGAACAAAGAAAGGCTACAAGTAGAAATTCTGGCCCACAGCCCCAGGGGAGCCCAGCCACAGGTGCCAGTTTAGGTAGCAGACTCCAGTGAGTAGGGAAGCCGTTTGAGTCCTCTCATCTGAGGGTCCAGAAATCATGAAGTAATGAAGCAGAAGCAAGCCATTGCCACAGTGCCCTGTCCAGTTTCTTCACCCACACAATCTATTAGCATGATACAGATGATTTAAGCTACTAAGTTTGGAGTTGTTTGTTACACAGCAGCAGGTAGCCATAACGCCCCAAAATTTCCACTCTTAGCATAAGGCTAGGTCAAAACAAACACCACACAGGAAGGAACAGCAAGAAAATATGTCTTAGACATCATGACTTTAATCAAGTCCTAATCTTCGAAGGTCCAAACCCTTAGTCCTGTACAAAACCACCCCCAATCTGGCCCCAAATCATGGTTATCAGCCCGTAACACCCACTGGCCACTCATCTTGCTACTAATTCTTCGAACTTTTAGCCTCTAGTCTAGATCTATTACAGGTGCTATTCTCTCTGCATAGATTGCACTTTTTTCCCTTAATTATTCTTTTTCAAGTGCAGTTATAGGAAGCCTTTTCTAACTTTCTTAGCCATCGTTAATTGCTTCCTCGGTGTACTGCCATAGTGTCTTAGACGTGACGTATAAAATACTGCATTGTATTGTAATACTTTTACATTCTAGATCTTCCTTTGGACCATGAGTTCGTTTCGGGCAGTACTGCGTCTTAACAATGCCTTGCCTAAGCTGGCATTTTAGGCTTTTTGATAAAAGTGCAGACTTGTTCCCAAAGTAGGATGTTATCATCTTCCTGTAATCTCCAGTCTTCTAGCTCAATGGTTCTTCGCTTTTAGCTGCACATTAGAATCACCTGAAGTTCTTAGTAAACTCGCTCCTGAGTGGATTCCAGGTATCAATATGTCCAAAGCTTTTCAGGTAATTCCGACATACAGCCAAGGTTGAGAATCCCTACGACGTCTCCAACCAGGGCCCTTCTAGCAGTACCAAGGCAGGAAGGCTGGTGTGCGTTCAAACTTGTCGGTACTTTGTCCGGGTGCCCAGTTTGTATAGGCTCTCCTCTTCCGGCGCAAAAATGTGCATACTGCCTCCAGCCCGGCCTCGTCCTCAGAAACATTCTGCATGTCTCCGGCCCAAATTTCAGAACCAAATCCCTGAAAGTGGACAAGGTGAAGCAGAAACAAGCCTCTTCGAAGCGCCAGGAGACGTAGTTCTTGGGTCTTCCTGGGCAGTGAAAACCAAGGGTAGGGACGGGTCCCAAAATCACACACACTTTCTTCGGACGGCCCTTCCATCGGAGGAATGTAGAGGCGTGACATCACACATAGGCAGTACTTCCAGGGTGACCATCAGCCTCCCTTATATCCACAACCGTTCCCTCTCCCGGCTACAGCTCCCTGATCGCTGTGACCTAGCTAGCCCCTTCAGCGCTGTCACCGTCTTTCTCAGAAGCACGCGCTTGCGCAGAATTTCATACGTCATATTGAAGCGCGCCGACCGCTGAGACTTCTGGGGAATGGAGTTTGTGAGAAGGTCGAACAGTGATTGGGAGCGCGGACGTCAGCGGTTTTGCGCAGGCGCATTGTTCTCCCGACCTGAAGAGGCGCCGTCTTCCTGGGTCCCGAGCACTCAGTGCCGGAGGTGAGGGCTGCGGGTGTTTGTCTTCGAGATGCCGAGTGAGCGCAGCGGCGGAGAGAAGGGAACACTAAGAACTTGGGGGAGGTGCTGTGGGAATGGAGCGGGGTGACGCGGGCGGAGCCAACCTGCGGAATGTATATGTGTGTGTGGACGTCCCGGCTTGGAGAGGTGCGGACGGAAAGTTGCCCCTTGACCGCTGTGTTTGCATGCGTTCCGTGGGGGTGTGGGCACTGTTACTAGTGGTCTTTCAGCATAGGTCACTCTTTGCCAGATCCCGACTTTCAGGTTGGAAGTTTGGAGCCTTCCTCCGCCCTTTTCGCTCTTCCCATAATGGGTGTTTAATAAAATACGGGTGGAATGGACACTAAATCTATAGGGTCGTCCACTCCGCCCCCTCCCTCTTTCCCAGAAAGAGTCTCAGATTGTCTCGTTTAGCCCCCTGCCTTGGGCCTTCGTATGAGGCCACCATTTAAGGATAGATACGTCATTAGACTATATCATTGAACATTTTTACTTGATTTTAACCATGGCAGTTGAAATTTTAAGCGGTTGAAGTCCATTATTGAAAACTATGGTCATTATTTAGTTTATTGACAAGTTCAGTTCTCGAAGTAAGTACATCTCGAAGATATCTATGATTTAAAAAAGTATATTAGTGAATCCAGGCTGAGATTCAGTCCTTAAAGCTCTTGGTTTGGCATATATGGTTATCCATTAAACCGATAATTAAAGCTACCTTAATGCCTAATGTGTCTGTTTCAGCTGACAACATCATGTACAAACTTTTCCTAGTTCAAAGGAATGAATGGTAAAATAAATGCTTTACTATCATTCTTTAGTTGCTAGGGGCCTTGAAGAGAAGGGCTTTCATGCAGGAGGTAGGATTTGAGGTGAAAAAAACAGGGAATAAGTAGCAAAGCATTAGGCAGATTTGAGAAGGCACTGACTTTAGCTGGAGTGAAATGTCAAGGAATAACGGGAGACAAGGGTGGAGAAAAGTACACTGGTGTGAGGACATAGAGAATCAGAACAAAACACAGTACGCAGGGTGGATTCTATGGTTCTGGTCTGGGGACTGACAGGAATAAAGCTATTTGGGGACACTAGAGGTCACATCTAGGACTAGAGAGAGGAAACGGACTAGTGGCAGGGAGCCGGCTAGGAATGCAAAGTAGTCCTGATACAAGTTGTTAGGGACCTGAATTGTGGTGTCAGTGGTGGGAAAGGATAAAAATAACAATGCAGAAGAAGAGTCAAAGGATCTGGTGACTAATTTGATTTGAAATCAAGGGAAGAGAGAAAGGTAAAAGTTTGAATTGGGGGCATCTAGGAAAATAATGAAACAATAGAGAGGGGTTGGTTGGGGAGTTGCATAGGGGAAGATGGTTTTGAGGTGCCGGTGGAATGCCTAATTCAACACTTGAGTCATTTGGAAATGCAAGTTAAGTTTGGAAGAGAGATTGGGACTAGATTGGGAACCATCTCTGTAGAGGTGGAAAATGGAGCACCAAGTGGGTGGACTTTCTGAGGGATAGCGAGAAGAACTTCGTACAAAGACTGAACATTGGGCAATGTCCGTGTGTCCAGGGCAGGACTGGGAAAAAGTCACACAGAGATGCAGTTTTATTTGTAGGAAGAAAGTCAGGCTAGTGTAGGATCATAGCAATCACAGTAACCACTCGAAGAAGTGGGGACTTGTCAGAACAGTCAAAAGCTGCAGAGAATTAAAAAGGAGAAAAGGACTACAGGATTAGAGATCAGAAATGCACTAGTAATTTTTGAGCATGCAGTTTCAGGATGTGAGTAGTGATAAGAGCAGAATAATGGATTCAAGAAGAGTAGGTAGAATTGATGGGTATGTGTTACCAAGAAGATTGATCATGAAAGGAAAACCCAAATGAGAACTCTTTTGCTAGAGAGAGGCCATGGGCTTTGGCGAAGATAGTTTCAGATAGATGAGGGGTGTACTGTTTGAAGATGTGGGAAAAGAAGCTGTTGGTGAGGTGAGAGATGGTGGAGAAACAAAGACTGGCTAATGCGGGAGCAGATTCTAAGAGGCAACTGTAGTGGGAAAGAAAGTAGGATACAGAGGACACATAGGTAAAGTCCTGGAGACAGACATTTCTGTTTTGTTGTCCTCATACCTGATGCCACCTAGCACATAGCAGGTGCTTGGACATACTTGTTGAATAGTAGGATGAATGAGTGAATGAATGGGATGGTGTTGGGCAGTAGAAAGGAAAGCAACTTGCATTTATTGAACAGACAGAAAACTAAATGCTTTACATTAACTGTCTCATTCACTCTTTATAACTACTCTGTGAAGTAGGTATTAAAGAACTGGGGGTCAGCTTTTAGCTTAAGTAATATGGCCAAGCCTTCACAGTTCATAATTAAAGGCCTGTGGATTGCTTTTTACCACACAGACCTGCCTCCTCTGGAACTCTCTTTTGTGAGTATTCTGCTGAAATTGAATGGTAGCCATGGAGGTTTGGAATAGCTACAGAGCAAGGATGGGAACACTAAAAACATTCCAGGCAGGGGCTTATTTGAAGATCGAGAATAAGAATTTGAAGAGTTTTGTCTCCAAAACTATTCTGAGAACTGGGAATAGGACAAGAGAGAACAGAAGTAATTCCATGTCAATTTGGTGGATTTAAAGAGCCTTGAATTTCACCAAGAACCTACTGAAGCGACTGCCCAGGAGGGAAGTCAGGCTGGCAGGGAGCCCACAGATAATGAGCACCTTGGGAATATTGACTGGTTACTTAATGGCTGGGGAGCTTTGATACTCACCATCATTTGTAATTTTTCAGTGCTCACTTTATGAAAGCCATAATCTAATAAACGAAACTTTGAAAATTATCTTTATGCATTTAAACACTGAGCTGGTTTTCAGCTACAGTTTCAGATGTGGTTCAGCTGATCTGTTTGATCAAATGTGGATCAAATGCTTTGGAAACATACTCAAATACTTTGATTCCAAAGTTGTTACTACACTTAAACCTTAAACTCAAAAACATTGTAATTGTAATTTCATGTAATTAGTATTTAAATGATTTCTACCTTCCTAGGATTATAACATAGCTTTTAGCTAATGCTAACACTTAGCACATTATTCTAAATGCTTTATATATATTACTATATTTAAGCATCACAATAACTGTATTAGACAGATCCCTTCATCATTCTAATTTTACAGATGGGTAAACTGAGACAGAGGTTGAGAAAGTTGCCTAAGGTCATACAGGTAGCAGGACACAGCTGGAATTTTATCTCAGGCAGTCTGCCAGAGTCTGTACACCTAATGAGTATACTGTCCTGTATCTCTAAATACTAATTTTGACCTCTTACTAGGGCCCTAGGGCCCAAGGGTAATATTTTAAGACCATCCTGGAAATGGAGGAATCTTAACAAAGAAAAGAATACGGTTTAAACAGTTCACCTTGCAGGCTACTGATGATGCCTGTTCCCATTCGTGTGTGTATCTCTCTGCCTCCTCTTTACAAGAGTCAAACCCCAATCGCTCCCCAGGTCCAGTTCTTTTTTTATAGTTCTACTAAACTTGTTTTTCTAGTAAGGTTTTTTCTTTTAATTTTTTACCTTTTGCATAAGTTTTAAGCATTTTTCCAAACTGGTGTTCACCTCAAGGTAATACTCTTCAAGTTTTGCTTATCCAGCGTTCAATAACCCCTTGTAAAATATATTGATCTGGTCTTTCAGTGTTTTTGAAAACTTACCTTCTTAGTATCTCATAATTAATAAGGCAAGATGGAGGGTTCACTGCCTGGGGAAGGAAGGATTAAGTCTGCATGGTTACTTTGCCTCTTTAGAATCTGAAGTGGATTCCTTATTAGGGGCACGTGCCCTTCTGTCTTCTGTCCTCAGTACTGATTAGTCTGTTTAGGGTTTGTAGGTCCTCTTTCTGGGATTACTTGGTTTACCCCTATTCCTAGGTTTCTTTTTTTCATGCTTATATGAATGGACACAAGTATATATCCTAAGGATATATCTGTACTTGGTGAATAGTCATACAATTAATAGAAAAAAAAACCCACAAAGTACTTATTTATATAACTAAAGGCTTAATCATTGCCTTGTTTATATTATGACCAGTTTTTAATACTTTATATTCATTTTTCTATTTTGAGTATTTAACTCATGGTCTTTCAAAATCCACACAATTTCATTCAGCGATAATAATTTTTACAACTTGGCCAGGGAATCCAGAGTCATCTGATTTTTCCTATCCAAAGATGTGGGAACAGCTCAAATTCTAAATATTCCCAACTGCACTCATTAGCTTTTCTGCCAAACCTTCTTTTCCATTGCACATCTCCACCAATGGTACCATTATGCACACCGTTGTGCAAACGAGTGACCTGGAAGTCATCCTTACCTCTCCCATCACCTTCAGCCTCCTCTTCCAGTCAGTCTGTTGTCTGTTCTTCATGTCTTGACAGTAGTTCCCCTTCTCTCATTTCTGCTGCCACTACTTTTGTTCAGTTTCTCTCCATTTTTACTTAATTGTGAGATTGTTCCTTGGTCCTTCCTAACTCCCCTCCCCCCTTGCCCTCCTCTAGTCCATTCTGCTGCAGCTTCCAGAGTGGCATGGCTGCTCCAGGTTCACCGCACATTCAAGGATTTGCTGGAAGGATGTGGAACGCAGCCTATAGTTGCACTCATAGCTAAGATGATGACTGATCTTGCAAGGATCCACAACTCAGTCATGAGGGGAAAAGACAGGTAGAATCTGGAGGAATTCATGGGTGGGCCAGGAGGGGTCACACAGAACACATCCTCTCCAGCAATGAAAATGCAGCAATATGTGTGTGATGTTCCAGCCCAAAATGCTCATTAGAGACTAAGAGCCCAGGTTATTTTTTATTGAGGGCAGGTCAGGTAGGCACCCTCTGCCTAACACATACCAAAATTCCAGACCATCTAGAAGGAAAGCAAGTGTCCAGCATAAAACACATTCTTTGCACATCATTTAGGCATAATGGACCACCCTTCTCTTTAGGGAACCCTCCCAAAATCGAAGTTCCCAGACCCCAGCCAAGGGCCAACTTCACAAGTAGACCTTTCTAAGAGTAGCAGTCTCAGGTAACTTTTCTGTACACTACCTTTCCTTCCTGCTATTTTTCCTGTACACAAAAGTAATTACGCACTGTTGTAAAAACAAATCAGAATATAAAGAATTGTAGGAAATAGAATAAAGTCACTTGTAATGCCACCAGTCAAATTCCTTTTACATTTTAGTATATATTGTTTCAGTCTTTTTCCTATAGGCCTGGACATACACAAATAAGTAATTTTTAGTGTGCATTCTTTCTTTTTAAGTAAACTGATTTTTGAATGAGAGTACAAGTAGGGGAGGGCAGAGAGAGAGGGGGGAGAGAGAGAATCCAAAGCAGGCTCTGCTCTGTCAGTGCAGATCCCACTTGATCTTAGCCAAAAGGCCGAGAAGCGATGTCAGTGCAGATCCCAATGTAGGGCTCAGTTCCACAAACTGAGATCATGACCTGAGCTGAAATCAAGAATCGGACATATAACTGACTGAGCCACCCAGGCACCCCTAAGTGTACATTCTTAATATTTGTGAATTTTTTTTTAAATTTAAAAACAAATGTAATGTTTACTTTTGAGACAGAGTGTGAGCAGGGGAGGGGCAGATAGAAAGGGAGACACAGAACCTGAAACAGGCTCCAGGCTCTGAGCTGGAATCACAGAACCCAACACGGGGCTTGAACTCACAAACGGCGAGATCATGACCTGAGCCGAGGTCGAATACTTAACCGACCGAGTCACCCAGGCGACCCTAAAGGTTTTTTTTAACAAACAAAACATCACAAAGTTGAAGTCTCTTGGTTATCAGTACCAATCCCATATCCCTCCCTCTCCAGATATAACTCACAAAAAAATCATATAGATTTTTTTTTTAATATTTAAGGATTATTTCCTTTTCAAATGTTTATTCAGGAGAGAGAGCGAGAGCACGCACAAGCACAGGAAGGGCAGAGAGAGAAAGGGAGACACAGAATCCAAAGCAGGCTCCAGGTTCTGTGCCGACCGCACAGGGGCCTGACATTGGGCTCCAACTCCTGAACTGTGAGATCATGACCTGAGTTGAGTTGGGCACTCAACTGACAACTCAACTGGCCACCCGTGCACCCTCCATATAGATTTTTGTAGATATTATTTACCTGTTTTTAAGTTTTGTGTAAATATTACACAGTAATTCTAAAGCTTTCTTATTTTTCGCTCAGTAATTCTATTTTTGTGATTTGTCTCTATCATTAACTTACAGCTCTATTTCATCTTAATGTATAATATTCCTATACACACAAACTCACACACATAAAATCACGCTTTATCCTACTGATGAACATTTAAGTCATTTGCGGTTTATCACTAGTGATCTTTTCCTTGGTGATTTCTTTCTTTTTCTTTTTCTTTTTTTTAAATAGCTCCATGCCCAATATGGGGCTTGAACTCACAACCCTGAGATCAAGAGTTGCATGCTCTACTGACTGAGCCAGCCAGGCACCCCTTCCTTGGTGATTTGTAATGCCACCTCAGTTGTATATCAAACTTCTCTACATGTTTGGATATGCTAGCAGGTTGTATTCTAGTCTATTGGTCTGTTATCTATGTGGTTATTTTGGCATGAAAACAAAAATCACATTATAGCATAGAGGTTAAAAACTGACAGACATGGGTTCAAATTCTACTTCAGCCTTTTACAAAGCCTTAACTTTCCTAATCTGTAATATAGTACCTACCTTATTGATTTATGAGTAGGGAATTAAATTATCCTTAGAAAGACTGCTTAGCAGGGGCACCTGGGTGGCTCAGTCGGTTAAGTGTCTGACTTTTTTTTTAATGTTTATTTTATTTTTGAGAGAGAGTGTGAGTGAGGGAGGGGTAGAGGGAAAGGGAGGTACAGAATCTGAAGCAGGCTCCAGGCTCCGTCAGCACAGAGCCCAATGTGGGGCTCGAACTCATGAACTATGAGATCATGACCTGAGCCAAAGTCGGTCACTCAACCAGTTGAGCCACACAGGCACCCCAAGCTTCTGGCCCTTGATTTCAGCTCAGGTCATGATCTCATGGTTCCTGGGTTTGAGCCTTGCATTGGGCTCAGCACTGACAGCATAGAGCCTGTTTGGGATTCACTCTCTCCCTTTCTCTCTTGTGCCCTCTCTCTCTGCCCCTCCGTCACTTGCACATGCTTTCTGTCTCTCAAAATAAATAAAAAACTTAAAAAAAAAAAAAAGAGTGCTTAGCACAGTGCCTGGTAAATAGCAAATGCTAAATAATAAATGCTAGTTATTATGATGATGTTAAATGGAATTACAGTGTATGAATGAGCTGGATCACAAATTATTTAATCATATCTTCTGTGATAGAAACATAAGATATTTCAAATTTTTCCTGTATTTTAAGGATTAAATGAGATAAAACACGTAAAATGGTTAAATGTTACCACATGTAGCACTCGATAAAGGTTAGTATTAATGATGACTAAGAAAAAGCTCTGCATATATTCTCACTTATTTCCTTAGGACAAACTCCTAGGAGAGGTTTGCTGCCAGAGAGCATGTATATTCCAAGGCCTATGATACAAATTGCAATGATCTTTCTATTTTTGAAAAATTTTTAATGTTTTTATTTATTTCTGAGAGAGAGAGAGAGAGGCTGTTTGAGCAGGGGAGGGTCAGAGAGAGGGAGACACAGAATCCAAAGCAGGCTCCAGGCTCTGAGCTAGCTGTCAGCACAGAGCCCAGTGCAGGGCTTGAACCCGCAAACCATGAGATTATGACTTGAGCTGAAGTCGGACGCTCAACCGACTGAGCCACCCTGGCTCCCCTGCAATGATCTTTCTAAAACACAAATCTGATGATGACACTTCGGCGTTTAAATCCTTCAGTGATCTCCATGCCTGTGGTTCGTCTTCTGTGTATGGGACCATGCAAAGCTGTCCTTGATCAGGCTGGCCTCTGCCTAACTTCTCCAGCCTCATCTTTCCTCACAGCACCACTCACCCAGCCTAGACTTCTGCTGTTCTAAACTACTTACAATTGCTAATCTTTTCCATGTAAGGACCCATCTCCTTGTTTTTAAAAAACTTGTTATTTTTCTTACCTAGAATGTTCCACCTCCTCCCCCAGATCAGAACTTAAATCTTAGATCCTGCTTCTGCCAAGCAACCTACAGCCTCCTACCTGGGTTAGGCAAGCCCCTGATGGGCACTCATCAGGGTATCTCTTTATAGTACATATCCATCTGGTAGCAACATATTATTTGGGATACTTGTTTGTCCTATGTTCTAGACTATAAGCTTTTGGAGGACAGGGACAGTGTCCTATAGTTTTTGTGTTTGGTATAAAAAGTTGGTACTAAATAAGTGTTGGTTAGTTGATGAATAAATAAATAGCAAGGATCAGAACATACATCCCCTTGACTGCAGGAGAATAGTCTGCAAGCCATCTCTTTTCCTCCTTCCTGGGACCACACTTCCCATTCCGCTCACAAATCCCAGGAATGTCTGATTCAACTATGTTTAATTAGACTCCTCCTGACTGTGGGAAACTGAGACCTGCTCAGCAAACTCCAGTAAAGGGAGTTGACTGATAAGGATTCACACAAAGCCCAAGAGGTTTAGAGTCTTATGTAAATCCAAGAATAAATAAGGCTGTTCTGTATGCAAACTGGAGCTCAGTGGTGGTCCTGCATGAACTGAAGGACTTCAAGGCCAGTAAAAACTCTTAGGTCTTTGTACCACTGCTGGTGTGAGTAGGCTGTTCTTCCCCCGGCCGTGTCTGGTCTTACTGTACCATGCCTCCTATGTACTCACTGGTTCTGCTTCCTGGTAACTTGGGCTCCCCTGATCCTCATGGCTACTTCCGTCCCTCATGACATCCTTTTAGCTCCTCGCCCACCTGTCATCCTGACATTTCTTAGTTCACGTTCCTGAAGAAAGATGTCACCTTTTCAAGCTAGATCGCATCTCAGTCTCCTAGCCAGCCTGCACATTGTCCACCTGAGGCCTAAATCAATGTGGCTCCCGGAGTGAGACGCAGCATCGTGCAGAAGAAAACATGGCTGTCCAAGCCAGGAGCCCAGGGATGTGAATGGGGTATTTTTCCCTTAAAGAGACTATGGGCGTTCACTTGACACATCTTATCCATATAATCATTTATAACATTTTTTAGACTTTTTATCTGGTAACAGGGCAGTAGTGAATGTTAACTTGTAAATACAGTACAAGCTTAATATGTTCTTGGTTCCCAGGAACAGAACTGCTCCTGCGGGATCATAGTAAAACATGTACTGCATTGTGTCCTGAATAGGAATATCCGCAGTCTTTCACTCCACTTCTGGGGTGGCGTGGAGTTGCTCCTGGCCTTGCTTTGCTTTGCCTTCCCTTTTTGGTAGGGTATTAGGAATGAGAATGGGGATGTGACTCACTGGGATTTGGAGATTTCCTGCTTTATGGGTCAGAAAACTGCAAGACTGGCCTCTCTCATACCGTCTTTCTCATCCCACGCCTGTTCCTCATTAGGACTCTGCCCTTTTCTACCAAGAGAGCATACAGGAGGGAATGGCCGCTGGGTCTCCAACTGACAGATGCCAGGTGAGGTGGACTCTGTGTTTCTGGAATACCCCATTAGTCTCCAGAATGTAACCCCTTTTCTGTGCCTACCTGAAGCATCTGCAATCAAACCGAACCAGGTGAATGAAGGACTCCACAGGGGACGCGCCTTTCCCATTGGGTTTGCGGTTTCCTTCAGTGACCTTTTCTTGCCTTGAATGTGTGCCCATTAGCCTGTCACCAGGCATACTGTGACCTTTCCCCTGAGTGATTTTGACCAGAAAGTGTTGGTACAGGTCTGCTTGGATGGTTTGGGGGACCATTCTAGTCTTGACTTCCCTTTAGTGCAGCTGTGTATGTACTGAGAGCAGACCCCAAGTATTCTAGGAAGTGTTGGGTTAGGCCAGGGAATACGATACGTGTTGTAGAGCATCTCAGTGAGGTAGTAAGAACCTTAAAGAGAGATGAGTGTGGGTAGAGATGTGTGGCTTGCCTCGTTCCTGACCAAGCACCCACCATCTTGAACTGTATGCTGTGACTTAGAATGTCTGAAAGCACACTGGAGACACATTGGAGTTTTAGGCCTGGAGGTAAGATTATAGAATCACAAAGCATTAGTGTGAAATGAGGGGATCCTAAGGCCAGTCTAATCAACATCATGATTTTACAGATTTGTAAAAAAATATACAGTTGGTGGAATTTGAATAAGATTGTAGATTATAGTCTAATATCAATGCTATTTTCTTGACTTTCATAATTATACTGTGATTATGCAAGAGAATATCTTGTTTTCTTAAAATATGAGTAAAGAGGCCTCATGTTTGCAAGTTACATTCAGAAAAGGGGCACCTGGGTGGCTCAGGTGGTTGAGTGTCTGACTCTTGATTTCAGCTCAGGTCATGATCTCACAGTCATGAGATCAAGCCCCATGTCAGGCCCTGCATCAGGCTCTGCATAGGGCATGGATCCTGCTTAAGATTTCTCTCTCTCTTTCTCTCTGTCTCTCTCTCTCTCCTCCTTCCCTGCATGCATGCACATGCTTTCTCTCAAAAAAAAAAAAGTTCAGGAGGAAGACAGAATGTGTATGTACTGAGAAAGAAAGATAAAGCAAATGTGGAAAATGTTAACATTTGGGGAGGCTGGGTGAAGGGTACATAGGAAGTCTTTGTTCTTTTCTTACAAGTTTTCTGTAAGTTTGGAAAAAGAGTCCATGATATTCACAGGGTCAGCTGTGTATATAAGGGTTATAACCAAGAACTTTGTGCCTCAGGGAATTAGGCCACTTTCCCCAAGTGCTTCCAAGCCCTACTTTATCAGAACCATGTCCCTTACCCTCCCTCCACAACCTTAGGGCTGTCATCTTTATAGACTGTTTTGTCTGGTCCATGTAAAGAGAAGGGTTATGAATAAGGGAGAATGTGATTGTGTTTCCAGGAATCAGTGACATTCGAGGATGTGGCTGTGATATTCACAGATGAAGAGTGGAGGCATCTAGCCCCTATTCAGAGGGACCTCTACAAGGAGGTGATGCTGGAAAACTATAAGAGCATTGTCTCATTGGGTAAGAAGAGCTTCCCACAAGAAGTCAGACTCTGTACTGTGTTAATGGCGGGGGTGGGGGGGGGTTGCGGGGCTAAAAGATGATACCTCTTCTCCCACCTGAGTTCTGAAGCACTGAGAGACAACATGGAGGAGTAGAAGGCTATGGCTTAGATGTACAGCAACAGTGGACTTCTCAATCCTGAGCCCCAGCATTGGACAGACTTGCTCCCTGAGCCGTAGGCAAGTTGGACAACCCCAGCTTCCCTTGCTCAGCAGCCTGCCCATGCAAAACAAAGGGCCCACTCTCCAGACGGGGGGCAGACAGAAGAAGCTAAGTCACATATGCCCCATTCTTCCCCCAGCTTATCAGGCAGGTAACGTACTCCGCTCTGTCCAGAGGATTAAGGGGGGCCACAGGGGCTATTTTATTGAGGGAAAATTTATCCTTGGAGAAGCAGAGGAGGGGAGGAAGAAGTGTTTCCCTTTCTAAAAAGGGCACTATGGGCATAGAGATGCAAGGCTGTGCCTCAGAGTAGGTCACGAGAAATGCATTTGATTTTGACTGTTTATCTTAAGGACAGTCTTAGAAGCCGACAAAACGCACTTTGCAATTATAGAGACTTGTGTGACAAAGGGACAATTAAGAATGACTGCTGATAGAGGCACCTGGCTGGCTCAGTCTGTCCAGCATGCAGCTCTTGATCTCAGGGTTGTTGAGTTCAAGCCCCATGTTGGGTGAAGAGCTTACTTTAAAAAAAAAAAAAAAAAAGGTTGATGTGTTATATTCGTGAGAAATAAAGTTGGGCTCCTGTAGGTAACGAGAATCTCTCAGAAACTTCCAGAGGCTTAGAGGGTGTACAGATTCAGAAACAGGTGTCAAGTGGGGCGCCTGGGTGGCTTAGTCGGTTAAGCGTCCGACTTTCGCTCAGGTCATGATCTCAAGGTTCATGGGTTCGAGCCCCGCGTCGGGCTCTGTGCTGACTGCCAGCTCAGAGCCTGGAGCCTGTTTCCAATTCTGTGTCTCCCTCTCTCTCTGACCCTCCCCTGCTCATGCTGTCTCTCTCTCTCTCTCTCCTAGAAATAAAACATTTAAAAAAAAAAAAAAGAAAGAAACAGGTGTCAAGTAAGTAGTAGGTGGCAGTCAACGGAGTCACATTGCAGATTTTATGCAAGACACGTCAAGGATTTAAATTGGCCAAATAGGAAAACCAGATAAATGTTCAAGGGACACTACTGAGCCTTTGTCACAGGC